CCTTGTTACTTTCGTTCGTAGGCGAGGATTCAAAGTTCAGGAATGTTTTTGTTTCACCGGGAGGGAACGAGACTCTCGTTCAAACGAAAGAGCGTGTTTTTGACGGATGATTTTTCAAAGTTTTTCCGGGACGGATGGAGAGGAATAACCGTGTATAAAAGCCATTAATGAAGCTGGGGTATCTCCAAGTGAGAAGAAGCGATCCCATTGGAACGGGAAGAGCAAAAGTTGCGATCCCATTGGAACTGGAAGTCTAGCAAAAGTTGGAGAGAGAAAGCGATCCCATTTGAGCAGGAAGAAGAGTTGGAGGAGATCAAAGCAAAAGCACTCGGAAGTGTCGGAGCATGGAGACTCGTCTGATCTTCCAGCTGCTGCTGCTGCTGCTGCTCCTGGCTGGAGAGATCCACCAGGAACAAGTTGGAGCTTCCGCTGCTTCTCTCGTTTCTTCTGCTGATGAAGCAGGAGCACGGCATCATCGTAAACTCTTGCAGGATTTCACGGTCCAGCTCTCGCAGGCTTACAATCTCGAGATCCCGGTAGCGACAACAGTGCTCAAAGGAAAGAGCTCGCCTATACACCCAGCAGTGAATAAAGAAAGTATACTCCCAGCAGTGATCAAACGGAGGAGCTCGCCTATCCACCCAGGACCAAAACACGTTAGTGCATTCGAAAATGGATCTCCTCCAAGCATTGACACCAAACAAGCTGTGAGATCTGGAACTCCTTCAAATGGAAAGATCATTCCAGGCCCTCCTCCAACTCGTAACACAATTGCAGGCCGGCTGGATTCAGTGCCATCATCGCCGATTCACTGCACAAAACCATGTTAAACGCATGATCAACCAAATAAATAAACTCTGATTCTACTAAGAAAGAGAAAAAAACAGTTTCAGAATCAAGAAACTATTTTTTTATGTAACGAACAAATCAGATGGTCACTTGTGGCGCTGCTCAATCAGCTACAATGGCCACCCTGAAAATGTGTTATGAGTTGGAGGGAGAAGTGGAATTCTAACCGGAAGAACCCGAAGTTACCATGCCTGTAGATACATGCAAGAAACACAAGAAATGGATCTTTTCTCTCGTGTCCTTGCTTCTTATAAAATAGGTTCTTGATCACAAGAAGGAAAGATTTCAATTGATTTCTTTAAGAGCCATTTGCTTCAATTCAGTTTTATAAATTCGCTCCACTATCCCGCTCATAGAGTTTTGTTCTCTAGTTCCTTGTTTCAATCTTCAAGCTTTTTCCTCAATAACCGGGAATCACTGGCTTTGGAATTCCGTTCGATCGAAGAAACCTCCTTGACAACCTCCTTGACTGGTGAATCTTCAGGGTATTGCGCGAGGACTTTAGGCGTGCCTAGAACTATACCGTGTGTATAAAATAACTCTCAAGGAAGAGCTCATCCCCGCAAAGGTTGGAAGAAAAGATGGTTCTAAAGCAAAGCGAAGGTAATGGCTCTTGATTGACTGAAGCTGCCGCTGCTGCTCTTGTTCACAACAACACACAGCGCTGCTTCTCTAAGATCTGATAGATCAGAGTTTGCTTTTTCTCTTCCATACAAACTTTCACATTGTCTGTTTTCCACAAATTTCTGCTGTTCTCCAGCAACAGTGGCTGAAGCAGAAGGAGCTAGTCAACCTATACATCCACAACTGCCGTATTATATACATATTGCGTGGCACTCGGTCTATTACCAACAAAACAAATTACAAAGTTTTTCTTGGTTTGGACCATTAAATGAAGTTTAGGTAGTTATATTCTGTTGGTGAAAAAATTCGTTGATGTTGGTGCCAAAATTGAGCTAGGGTTTCGTAAAGGACCACGCCACTTTCATATATTTGAATAAAAATTATTTTACAAATATTGGCGGTATGGTACTCTTTTAACTTCTGGCCATGGGTTCGAACCGCGGGGTGCTCAGATACGGCATCCGGCCGAGCCAATTAGATCATATTATAAGAGTTATGACGATCGAGGGCCAACGCAGGGCATTCGACCACTCTTGGGCAAGATACTTAGTATCAATTGTTGTAAAGGTCACATCTAAGTTCTTGCTACTCCTTGGAGAGCTTTGCTCCCAAAATACAAAAGAGAAGATGAGAGAAGGCTTCTCTTTTTCTCACCCGACAACTCCTCTTCCCTCGTCTCGATGAGCCATGAACGAAGGATATGCTGCACCAATTCTTGCCCTATCCCACATGCCGGGGAATGGAATAAGGGCACAAGAGCAGTATATAACCCAGCGCTATGGGAAAGGATCCATACTTACCTGGACGGGGTCTATTGGCGATCATGAAGGTCAATGGCCTAGGTTCGGCCTTCCCATTGCACTACGGCTTGGCCGGCCTACCATCTTCCCAAAGTGGAGGAGTGGACGTCGTAATTTGTGGAAGTTGAGGGCTCGCGTACGCGCGGCCCTCTCCAAATTTTAAGCCCTAATATGGATTTTCTAGTTCCAATTGCTAGCACTCTTTTAAGCTAGAACCATCAGCTTCATCCATGCGCTTGTCCCTAGTTCCTGCCGGCGATGGCGGCTCGCAACTCTCGAATCCTCTGCGTCTCTGGATCCACCGTTGAGCCAATCTCGGGCTGCCTCGTTGGCTGCTGCATCAACATACCCGCCACTGCCGGCGCGTACGCTCCAGAAGGTCCCTGTTTTTTATCCAAATTCTCGCTGGAATACCATTGAAAAGAATTTCTCGTTTCAGTGAAGCCTTGCTCTTGCTGGATGCTAATCTCCACAGCCTGTGTGTGTATGTGAGACAGAGAGAGAGAGAGTAAGGATTTGTTTCTCCTCGAAAACACGCCTTACCTTGCAAGCTCTGGATGCGAGGATTTGCTTGTAGTTTTCCTCATTATACGCCTTGATCTTCGCCTCAGATTGAAGACTACCAGGCAAAGTGAGTGAGCGGCTGAGAGAATGTCACTGATGTCCTCAAACCTGAAGTTTTCCACATTCTCAGTTCTTCTGCGAAGTGATAACAAGCATTTTTGTGATCATTGAGAATGAATTGAAGAGATTTTTTTGACTGATTTCAATTCATGAAACAACAAAATATATTACAAGTTCGCTTCTTCAAGACGAAAAGGAAAAAATCTTGAATCTGTGCAAATCCATGTCACAGCATTGACAATCTGGCTGAAGCCGCGAAGTATGGAACAATTATTGCTTGTTCTTGTTTTCTCTCCTTGATCTTCCCATCTGAGACTTGGGCGTTCTTCTTGGGCTTGATCTTGCTGGTCTTGTTGCTGCTACTCCTCCATCCAAAACAACCCATGCGCTTGTTAGGACTGAGGTCCTGTTGATTGCCCTTCAACTCCGCAGCATGAACTTGAGCCATGGGTTTCCAATCACAATATGGAGAATCGACAATGAAGAATTTGCAGAATTGCTTTGGTGCCTGGAGCCTGGAGCCTGGAATTATATTTTCTACACTGTGTCGCTACGAGTTCTTGACACTGAAGCTTCCCATCCTCTATGTTTTATATTCTTGACGGTGAAGCTTCCTATCCTCTGTGTTTTATATCCCAGCTTTCCACGGGACTTTCCTTGCACACCAAGCAAAAGACTCGGCATGCAAATGAAGTATCCTGGAATGTGTTGGGATGTGACGTTATGACATATCTTGAAAGTTTCAAAGGGCAAAATTATCACGTACAGTTTTAATTGGAATTTTAATGTGATTGAAAAGATTAACGTCCAGTATTCAATCGAGATATCTTAAATTTCCATGCTTTTGGGAGGATCACATCCCTCACACGAAATGGACTACCAAAATTTAGAACAGATTCAAATGTTCAAGATGACAGATTTATTTTCATTACAAAAAATAAAAAATTTAGAAGCCTATTACAGGAGTGGAAGTCTAGAGAAGTGACAATTGCATCTCACTGCTACTTTTCATAGTCTTGCTCACATTGCTTGCTACTTATTTCAATTTCCATTGTCTCGTTGCAACCTCTTGTTGCTCGTCCGTGTTTCCACCTTGAACTCCTGCTGCCATTCCAAAATCAATGATCGTTTTGTATTTGAATAGAGTCTAGATTACAACAGTGGAAAAAAAATTCGCTTCATATTATTGTCTTGTTATCAAAACCCATGAGCAGAGGTTTCTCTAGTAGTAGACGCTTCAAATGCCGCGACAAAGACACCTCGTCGTTCGTGTCTTTCCTCTGCCTCTCGGTAGGTAGCATCCAAAACTTCCGAAGAGCTCATCACGGCACTCGGAAGGCTTCCGCGATGCAAGAGAACGACGAGCTTCTGGATATTGTGAGGGCAATCAACAGGACTCAGATTGTGGGTTGACTACTCCTCCATCCAAAGCACTAACTCCATTGAGCCAGTCACAAATTTGAGAGAACAAAGGATATAGTCTTCGTGCGTGAAGGCTGAATTAGATTTTCTACGCTCTGTTGCTGCGAATTCCTGATTTCAATCCTTGTCCAAAAAACTTTCCGTGCAAACCAAGAAATGACTCGGCATGCAAACGAAGTGTCCTGGAAATGGATACGATGCTGCTCATTCATCCTAGCTTGACCAACTTATCCTGAGTACCAGATCTTAAAACAGAGAAGATATTTGGAGGGAGAACAAACAATCTGGAAGCTTTTCTCTACTATTACAGGAGTGGAAGTCTTGGCGAGGAAGAGAAGTGAGGAACGACAATTGCATCCTTTTTCTTTTTCTTTGACTCACTGCTGCTTTCCATAGTCTTGCTCCAATCTTGCGAATTCTCCACCTTGTTTGCTACTTTGAATTTCCATTGTCTCATCCATCCAAAACAATCGACCTTTGCAACCTTTTGTTGCTCGTCCATCTTGATGCTGTTTCCACCTGCTGCCATTCCAAAACAAATGAAAGAAATTCTCAGGGCACACATTATATACTTCGTCCTAACTTGCTAGCCAAGAAATATAGAGAGTTGTTAGGACTCCAGACTTTGACTTGAATAGAGTCTAGATCATTATTGTCACGTGTTTCTCGGTCACAAGAATACTATGCGGAAAAAGAATCATCGCTCGCTTGGGCACCACTATACATTGAAAAGAATTTCTCTACTACAAAGCTTTCATCTGTCAAAATCCACCGGAGGACATGAGCAGAAGTTTCTCCAGCAGTAGACGCTTCAAATGCCGCGACAAAAACACCTCGTCGTTCGTCTTTCCTCCGCCTCTTACTACCGGCGGTAGCAGCCATACCTGTGAAGAGAGATAGATCTTTAGGCATCATATTGGTAGCGAGTTTTCTTGCCTGGTAGTGTATTCGCTCGGTTCAATTGAGAGGTAGCATCCAAAACTTCCGAAGAGCTCAGCACTGCACTCGGATCGCAAACGCAGGCTTCCGCAATGCAAGAGCATGACGAGCTTCTGAAAGCAGGAGGATTTTGTGAGGACGGCCATTCTTTTCCAGCAAGAGAACTACAGTGTGTTACCTGTACATGTGATCCACAAACTCGACGACAAGAACAGGCCAAGCGCCTGGAGCGGCAGCTACGTTAATTAGATCAGAGCATGCGAATGGCGAAGTTTTCTCTACCTTCTGGATCGTAATTGCTCAAATCCTCGTGCACCACCCTACTAAACTCGCCCGGTTAAGGCCAGTCTCCAAGCATCCACCGCGATGCTCACAGCTGAGAGGAAGAATAACGGAGACTCCACAAGCTCTTCCATCCATAGCTCCGAGTTTAGGGCACCACTCAAGGCTAGGGTATGGGGAAAGTGCCGGGCCCATAGACATCCCATGCATTCAACATGTTGCAAACCAAATGTAGCTTCTCTAGAGCACAATGTTCTCACCCCAAATTTTCATTCTCTTGCACACTATCTTCTTTAACATGGTGTTCTTGACAACAAATGCCTTTGCGAAGCTGTGGATGTATAGCATCTGGAGTCGTGCCCCCAATGCAGCCAATTGAGTTTATCCTTCCTTGCCATTGATTTGCAATCTAGGTCTTTTAACACCTTAGAGGCACAAACTAGGCTAAAGATAAAGGAATCATTATTCTACTGATTGCTCATGTTGCAATGAAAGGCACTTTCCTTTGGCAAAAGAGCAAACCATAGCAACTTTTATATAGGGTTTATGAACACTTTGTATGGTCCCGTGTCTAACCCCTCACTTCATGCTCATCTTCCTGATTATAGTCTTAGTTTCAACAAACACCTTTACCAATTCCATGACATGGTGGAGCTTGTATTTGGATGCAAGTTTGCATGGTGTTGGTGAAGAGCTCATTCATGTGTGACATAGGCAACACTGAGGGGAATGGTAAGACCCAAGCTACAACATTGAGGCTGATTCCTTAACTTTAGGCTGGTGTGCACTAATTGTTGAAGGCATATATGAGTTGGGCTTGACTACTTCTCAAGAATAGCATGCTTAAGGAGATTGCAATTTTGTGCAATAACGTTTGGCCAAGAAGATCAACAGTAGGGACACTTCAATCATTTTTCCAAACATAACCATTTTAATATTTGAATTGAGTGAGAAGGATTTTCAAACATGGGCTAAACTATCCAATATATACCATGTGCTAAGGGCAAAGAACTAGAGTTTTCAGGGATTGAAAGCTCATCCTCACTTTAGTAAGAGTAGATGTAGAGTTACTTTGGATGATGTCCACAACTTAGGTGTGGAAGTTTTCTCCAAAGTTCAAATCAAAGATTAGGTAGTTGATGAGTTGCACAAGAGGAATGATCATCTTTACTAGAAAGATCTATAGTAAAGCATTTATGCCAATGAGTGAAAGCCCACTTAATAATGTTAAACTCTTGTAATGGCTCTATAGAGCTTCTATGCATAGTGAGTATTGCAAGCCTTCTTACAATAGGTTTTCCATTGCCTTTAGCTTTATGAATAGGTAATGCCACACTATTGCAGCCATGGATGCTTCCATAGCTTATTTATAGCTTTCACCAAGTTTGGTGAGTCTAGACTCAAACATTACATTATAGTCATAATTGCTGGGATTCTCCAAGATGGAATCCATGGATTTACACCAATCACCCTCCTCCTTTATACCTAATGCACCTCACAGTTAATTGAGTGCATTCTAAATATGTAACTCATGCCTTGAGGTCCATCTTATACAATCAGCAAGGCATCCCTAGATGCCAATGCATTTTAGGACATTGTGACAAAAAGACAAGGAAAGTGAAGTTTAAAACACAACTTTGGTATGGTCTTTATTTCTGTATGCATAAGTTGACTTTGTGGGTTAGTTGCTATTCCAAGTGTTCAAATATAATGCACAAATCTCTTGTGGGTGTATAATTGCAATATTAGCAATTGCAAAAAGTTCTAAATGAGAATGATTGACAATTTAACAGAGGAGGACTGTTTAAACATTTTGCAATCAACCTCTCTAATGGCTTTTGCATGTGGCTTGCCCCACATCTATTGTGGTGTCCTCCCAACGTTCTACAACTTGGAGTGTCACCAAGTTCCTTTCAAGAGTAACAATTCAATAGGATTAAACCCCTTGCTAAGAAACTTTTTCTCTACTATATTGAACTCTATCAAGCCGCTCTTATAAAGAACTCTCTAATAAAAATGCTTATACCAACAAGTTCTTCAATATAACTCATTTTTCCACAAATGGAAGATTTTATGATGGACATGGATGAATGGGGTTTTATTCTCGAATGCCCAAAGTTGCCCAAATTTACAATAATGCTAGGATACAATCTAAGTTCCCCATTCAATAGACTCTTTGAGCTTTTAATTACGACATTTGCTAGCTTAGTTGATAAGCTTAAGCCAATTCAAATAGACTCTCATTAAGGAAGTTACCACTAACTTGCATAGTGATAGTTTTTTTCATCTTTTGTCATGTGCAATAAGAGCAAGAGGTGAGAACATAATGCAAAGAAGCCTACCATGATCAATTTTGTTCGCAACATGGTCTATGTGAGTGGCTTAATTCCTGACATGGCATGGGCCATTCCTACGTGGCATATAAAGAATGGATGTGAAATGGACATTCGACAATGACACGTGGCATGGAGGCCAGCATTCCCCCTTGAGTTGTACCCTAAACTCGTTGCAAGCTATGGCAGAAATGGAAGAGCTTGTGGAGTTCATTGACGACATAGATGGGGCAGAGAGTCATGAATTTTACCTTTGTGATGGTAGAGTGGGCGTAGATGCGGTTCAGAGGGTGTTCTCGGCTAACTCCATCTCCGTGATGAGGGTCCGATGAAGAACTCTTGAACCAAGAAAAGAAGATGGTCTCAGCAAAGTGAAATTTCGGGCTGGATCTTCTCATGTCATTCGTCCCACGAGAGGTATGCTACTTTCTTTTAGGATGGCTTCGGTTTCTACTTCTTGCCCCAATTTTCCTTTATGCGAAATTCTTCGCCAAAGCCCCTATGGCGATCGAAGGAGGACGATCTCATTGCCCTTGCTCTCCCTGCGCATTTGTCTTTAGGTGGCCATATGCTGTGGCGTTTAACTGGTTTCTTGTTTTTTTTTCAATTTTATTGTTTACAGAAACAGGCATTACAAAAACAGCAGAAACAGATATTACAGAAGCAGACATTACACATCCGTGTGACGCTTATATCTCTCTCAAACGTCCGGCAGTAGCACAGTACGAGTCACGTTACAAGGCAAGGTTCCCTTCTGCTCGGACACTCGTTCCATCCTTCCCAATTGCTGGAAATTCCTGCAAAGAATTGCTATGCAATGTTCTTGAATCTTGACCCAATTCTTGATGTGGGTTGTTGAAATCTCTCAATCTCCCACTGGCTTTGTTCTCTGCTTGCTGCTGCTTGTTGCTCAGCACCTTTACACAGCCTGGTGCCTTGGTGCAACGCCTCAAGCGTCCCAAACATTGCAAGAGGGATTGCAATCGGGAGGCTCATCCTCCTCCTCGTCACTGGCCTCCTGGCCAGCAAGCGCCATTCTCAGGATCAAGGAACCCAGGGCTCCGATACCATGTTAGCAGCGGAGAGACGCGCACACGAGGAGGAAGAACTGTATATATATATATAACTGTATATGATTGTGTACATATACATAAAGCTACTGCCACGTGGGCATAACAACTGCCACATCATCTCTACCTCTAACAACTATGAAAGAGTTTGATGTGGGAGAGATTTACAGTCTACCTGGGTTTTGATGGTAGCAACATCCAAGTGTTTATGGAAAGGTTTATAGATGTTAGTCAACTAGACATGCCAGCTGTTATCTCCACCTACACAGGAAGGAGAAGACTTTTATCAACCGCTATTGAGAAGTATATTATGGAGACTGCACCTGCTGCAGATTGGTTCATGGAGTTTGCACGAAGGATGATCACTCAAACAGGCCGGGAACTTGGAGTCCATCGCTCTTTGAGAGACGATGCAGTTTTGCTGTGGAACAATCTGAGATGGCAAGTTTTATAGAAGGTCTGATAGTTACTTACTATCTCTCAGGTAAGACCGCAAGCTTTATAGAATTACGTGATATTGTGATATTTACTTATTACTTTTTCAGGTGCCATGTGATTGTACCAGGATGGAGGGGCATGACTCTTGTAGACCATGGTTTTGCAACTCTCCTTGAGAGCAGTGATGGAGCAGAACATTTTGCACCAATAGCTCCATATATTAGAGGTGTTATTGATAATAAAACAGAGACTCCTAGTTTGTCAGTTACAGTAGAAATTCACTATATAATCTTGCGAGAGCCTTTGGTGGTAAATGCACTATGGCATAACATGCCACAAAGTATGCTCATGAGATGCTTTATAAACACATTTAAACACTCATTTGTATGTAAAATCAACTTTGAGACATATACATGCATGACTTTTGGATTTACATTTGACAAGAAGGTACTAGCAGAGCTATTTGGATTGGTAGAAACACATGCTATGTACAAGAAAACATATGACTTTTTAAAACGAAAAGGGTTGTCAGTAGTGTTAGTTAAGGAGATTAAAAATGCAAAACAATTGAACAAGTGGCTCAAGTCAGTGGAGACTGATGCTTCATTTACAACATATGCTTGGACAGGGACATTCTGTGAAGCAGGACCAAAGGCAATGTTTTTCTTGTGGAATGGTAAGCTGAACAAGAAGATGCTTGTGTTTGTACAATTCACAACGAGAAGTGACTTAGGAGCAACTCAAGCATTTGTGACGCTAGACATCATGAAGCTGGACAAGAAAGTGAATTTAGAAGGCTCTCACAAACTCAAAGAATGGTATTCCACTAGTTATATAAGGCTGGTTGTGACAACAAAGGAATGCCCACGAGCGAGCGGGACAGTTTACCTTCAGAGAAGTAAGGTAGAGTGAACGTTTAAAAGAAAAACGTTCAAAAGAAAAAGCTGTGGTAAGTTTGAAAGTTGTATGCTATTTGAACTTTCTGTGATCTGTTCTGTAGGTTCCACCTTTGTCAGCTTTTTAAGCTAATGAAAGGCTACGTGGTATTGTGAGCACAGAATTACTAGAAGTTGTAGAAAAGTTGTAGAAAAGTTGAAGAAAAAATGGAAACAGGGGCTATCCAACGAGAGCCGGCTCTCAAGAACACTGCTACTTCATCCATTGAGCAGCAGTTCTTCTCTTGTCTCTAGTTGACCCACAAGCTGGAGAAAGCTTCCGTGAGATCCCTCCTGTGGCAGCAGTCTATGGACCAGCCCCCGGCGATGGCGGCTCGCTCCTCTCGAATCCTCTGCGCCTCTGGATCCTCGGCCGCGCCACCGTTGAGCAGGCTGTGTCCAATCGGCTCGGGCTGCCTCGTTGGCTGCTGCATCAACATCCCCGCCACTGCCGGCGCGTACGCTCCAGACGGTCCCTGTTTTCGATCCAAATTCTCGCTGGAATATCATGGAAAAGAATTTCTGATTACCTGTTCTATGGCTTCTCTCGTTTCAGTGAAGCCTTGCTCTTGCTGGAGAGCAGTGCTAATCTCCACAGCCTGTGTGTGTATGTGAGAGAGAGAGAGAGAGAGAGAGAGAGAGAGAGAGAGAGAGAGTAAGGATTTGTTTCTCCTCGAAAACACGCCTTACCTTGCGAGCTCTGGATGCGAGGATTTGCTCGTAGTTTTCCTCATTATACGCCTTGATCTTGGCCTCCGTCTCAGCCACATCGATGCCTTGGACCAGATTGAAGACTACAAGGCAAAGTGAGTGAGCAGCTGAGAGAATGAAACGAGAGCTCACTGATGTCCTCTACGTCTTCCAGGTAGTCATTGTAGTCTCTGAGGGACGCGAAATTGTCCTCGCGCTTGTTGTAGCTGGCACGCACAAGCGATTGAGAAAAGTGGAGGAGACATTTGCGATGCTTACATGCTCGCGATGCGCCTTCGCACTTGCATCTCCTTGTTCATACCTAGGCCGTAGAAACCCTAAAACCTGAAGTTTTCCACATTCTCAGTTCTTCTTCTTCACAACAAGCATTTTTGTGATCAATTGAAGAAATTTTTTTGAATTGATAGAATGATTTCAATTCACGAAACAAAATATATTACAAGTTCGCTTCTTCAAGACGAAAAGGAAAAAGTCTTGAATCTGTGCAAATCCATGTCACAGCATTGACAATCTGGCTGAAGTTGCAAAGTGTGGAACAATTATTGCTTGCTTTTGTTTTCTCTCCTTGATCTTCCCATCTGAGACTTGGGCGTTCTTCTTGGGCTTGATCTTGCTGGTCTTGTTGCTGCTACTCCTCCATCCAAAACAGCCCATGCGCTTTTTAGGACTGAGGTCCTGTTGATTGCCCTTCAACTCCGCAGCATGAACTTGAGCCATGGGTTTCCAATCACAAAATGGAGAATCGACAATGAAGAATTTGCAGAATTGCTATGGACTTGGTGCCTGGAGCCTGGAGCCTGGAATTATATTTTCTACACTGCGTCGCTACGAGTTCTTGACACTGAAGCTTCCCATCCTCTATGTTTTATATCCCAGCTTTCCACGAGGCTTTCCTTGCACACCAAGCAAAAGACTTGGCATGCAAATGAAGTATCCTGGAATGTGTTGGGATGTGATGTTATGACATATCTTGAAAGTTTCAAAGGGCAAAATTATCACGTGCAGTTCTACTTGGAATTTTAATGTGATTGAAAAGATTAACGTCCAGTATTCAATCGAGATATCTTAAATTTCCATGCTTTTGGGAGGATCACATCCCTCACACGAAATGGACTACCAAAATTTAGAACACATTCAGATGTTCAAGATGACAGATTTTATTTTCATTACAAAAAATAAAAAAATTTAGAAGCCTATTACTGGAGTGGAAGTCTGGGCAAGGCAGAGAAGTGACAATTGCATCGTTATTCATTTTCACTGGCTCACTGCTACTTTTCATAGTCTTGCTCAAATTGCTTGCTACTTGTTTCAATTTCCATTGTCTCGTTGCACCCTCTTGTTGCTCGTCCGTGTTTCCACCTTGAACTCCTGCTGCCATTCCAAAATCAATGATCGTTTTGTATCTGAATAGAGTCTAGATCACAACAGTGGAAAAAAAAATTCGCTTCATATTATTGTCTTGTTATCAAAACCCATGAGCAGAGGTTTCTCTAGTAGTAGACGCTTCAAATGCCGCGACAAAGACACCTCGTCGTTCGTGTCTTTCCTCTGCCTCTCGGTAGGTAGCATCCAAAACTTCCGAAGAGCTCATCACGGCACTCGGAAGGCTTCCGCGATGCAAGAGCACGACGAGCTTCTGGATATTGTGAGGGCAATCAACAGGACTCAGATTGTGTGGGTTGACTACTCCTCCATCCAAAGCACTAACTCCATTGAGCCAGTCACAAATTGGAGAGAAGAAAGGATGGTAGATTTTCTACGCTCTGTTGCTGCGAATTCCTGATTTCAATCCTTGTCTAAAAACAGATTATACAAATAAGATATTTGGAGGGAGAACAAACAATTTGGAAGCTTTTCTCTACTATTACAGGAGTGGAAGTCTTTGGCGAGGAAGAGAAGTGAGGAACGACAACTGCATCCTTTTTCTTTTTCTCACTGCAGCTCTCCATAGTCTTGCTCCAATCTTGCGAATTCTCCACCTTGCTTGCGACTTTGACTTTCCATTGTCTCATCCATCCAAAACAATCGACCTTTGCAACCTCTTGTTGCTCGTCCATCTTGATGCTGTTTCCACCTGCTGCCATTCCAAAACAAATGAAAGAAATTTTCTCGTTGCCTTCCTTTGTATGTCCTTAGGGCACACATTATATACTTCATCCTAACTTGCTAGCCAAGAAATATAGACCAGACTTTGACTTGAATAGAGTCTAGATCACGAGTGAGAATTAATATTATTGTCACGTTTTTCTCGGTCACAAGAATGCTATGCGGAAAAAGAATCATCGCTCGCTCGGGCACCACTATACATTGAAAAGAATTTCTCTACTACAAAGCTTTCATCTGTCAAAACCCACCGGAGGACATGAGCAGAGGTTTCTCCAGCAGTAGACGCTTCAAATGCCGCGACAAAGACACCTCGTCGTTCGTGTCTTTCCTCCGCCTCTTACTACCGGCGGTAGCAGCCATACCTGTGAAGAGAGATAGATCTTTAGACATCATAGTGGGAGCGAGTTTTCTTGCCTGGTAGTGTATTCGCTCGGTTCAATTGAGAGGTAGCATCCAAAACTTCCGAAGAGCTCAGCACTGCACTCGGATCGCAAACGCAGGCTTCCGCAATGCAAGAGCATGACGAGCTTCTGAAGGCAGGAGGATTTTGTGAGGACGGCCATTCTTTTCCAGCAAGAGAACTACAGTGTGTTACCTGTACATGTGATCCACAAACTCGTCGACAAGAACAGGCCAAGCACCTGGAGCGGCAGCTACGTTAGTTAGCTCAGAGCACGCGAAGGGGGAAGTTTTCTCTACCTTCTGGATCGTAATTGCTCAAATCCTCGTGCACCACCCTACTAAACTCCAGGACTTGTCGCCAGGTATCTTCGGTAATAGCATGGCGATGGTGCATTCGCACAAACTCGCACCACTGGTCGAGCAGCCTGAAACGCCCGGTTAAGGCCAGCCTCCAAGCATCCACCGCGATGCTCACAGCTGACAGGAAGAATAACGCAGTGAGAAACCATCCAGCAGCAGGCAACAACATAACACTTACTGAGGCTTTTCTGACCCTTTTCCCGGCACATGAAGAACACAAAACGGTAGAACGTTCCAAACCGGCGAGCATCTAAGAGCTGCAGCAAATTGCGAGGGGTTAAGCGCGGCTATTCTCACTGGCGATGCTTCATACCTCCCAGTGCAAATCGTTAACAAGCTGGCGCAGACCATCGAGAGAGGTATGGCTGAAACCTTGCGACGAATTAACACAAGAAACGAACTAGTGAAAAGAAAAGACTCGCATACCCAGTGAGAGCTCGTGAATCCGCATACGCGAAGAGAGCATTCAAACGCGCCTTGATTCTTTCTTGAGAATCGTCCGTGGAAACAATATCTGGGAAAAGAAAAGGATGAGAATCAAGCAAAGAAAAGAGAGAACTTGCCTGCAAACTCTAGATAGAATTCGAGCATCCGGTTGTCCATGAGATCCTGGGCTGTGGTCCGTGGTGGTGGATATGGGGACCACTGCCACCCCATTATTTTGATCCGCTTTATCTTCAATGAGACCCTCTGTTACTGACATCACATACGAGCTCCCAGAGGACGCTGGTGTCGATCGAAAACAGCTCCGCGCTGCTGGAAAACCCACGAAATATCATCCGATCGGCCCACACAATCGCGATCGCAAAACCCTAAGCCATGGTACGATAGATCTCGCGAATGCGAACGGCGAGGGGGGGAGATAAACCATACCAGATTCACGACATTTGATCCTCGCGGCCTGTTGCGTGGGCGCCCGGCGCCATTGAAGCGAGGAGAGCTCTCGCTTCAGTGCGCCTATTTAGGGGTGGGATGGGATCGATCGCCACCGTCGGCCAGGCGCTTGCACATCAGCGGCTGGGATGGTGCCAGCATGGACGGAAACGTTTTGTCGGAATCGACGGTGGATACGACCTCTGGCTCCGAAAGGGACGGCTCCCAGCTGGAAACCCTAGTACGCTCACAGAACACTCACACTCTCCTCGCATTCTTTGCGCCCTCCTGGAGCTTTAGGCGCGGGCTTAGGGTTATTGTTCGCGCAGAGGAGGAAGGGCTCACGAGGTATGCCGCGGCGCTCTGCGATTGCGATTGATTTCCTCTCCCTCCAGCATCGCCTCGCGGCGGCAGCAGCGGCGGCTGGGATAGAAATGCCAATGCGCGAGCTCGAGCTTTCTTGAGCTGCTGCTCTGCTGCGTTGCGAGCTTGCGATTGCGATTGCCTGGATAGAGAATGGAAATCGCTAGGGCTCTGCATGATGAAATCCGTTGGCTTTGCGCAGGTATTTCAAAAAACAAGGGGAGGAAACAATGCCACGGAAAGCTCCCACCGCCAAGCAGCAATGGAAGTCGTCGCCATCGCCATCGTCCAAGAGCAGCTCCTCGTTGGCCACTCCCGCTGGAACTTTCCACTTGCTGGACGCGCTCGAGCCCAAGCTGCCCAAGCACCTGGACGACGCCAGCTCCATCGCGGCCTCCGAGTTTGATTCCATCTCCAACAACGGCAGCTGCTCGGGCGAATCGGAGGACCAGTCCCAGCTCCCGTCCAAGGAGCGAGCTTTCATCCCGGGGCTCGACGCCTCCCCGGACAAGCAGGAGAAGATCCGCCTCAAGAACGAGAAGAAGCACCAGCGGCAGAAGGAGCGCAAGACCAAGGAACTCAAGGAGCGGTGCGCCAGCTACCTCATGTCCCGCAAGCTCGACAGCCTCGCCCAGCAGCTCGTCCCCATGGGCTTTTCTTGCGAGAGCGCCACCATGGCTCTCATCCTCAACGAGGGCGACATGGAGAAGTCCATCACCTTTCTGCTCGAGGACGGCGAGATCCCAAAGACGCTGCCAAGGAATGCCAGCCTCAAGCTCGACATATCCGACCAGCTCGCCAGGCTCGCCGACATCGAGACGCGGCACGGCTATCCTCTGGCCGAGATCGAGCGCGCCATCGTGGCCTGCGAGGGCGACATTGATGCTGCTCTCAAGTGGCTGCGGGATCACAGTGGACAGCCGGTGGCAGCGGCGCCGCAGCGGCAGGATCTGCAAGCTTCGAAGGTGGCGGAGACAAAACTGCAAAGCGCGGAGGCTCGCGTAAGTCAACTGGTGGTGCCATCTGCTAGTCCGGCTCCAGCCCCAGTTCCTCCTGGCTTGAGGGCCGTGCCTCTCCCGCCACCTCCGGTGTGGCAACGCGGGGCAAGCAGCCTCCATCACTCGCTGAGCTCTGTCAGTGCCGCCGCCGCCGCGAGGCTGGACCCGGCGCTCAAGTTTCTGGAGCAGCAGAGCAGGGAGCGGGACATCATCACCGACTGGAGGAATTCTCATCCCAGTCACCAGCAAGCCATGCTGCAACGCTTTCGACGCCTGGACGAGCCCCATTTGATAAAGTCCCCTCAACAGCAGCAGCAGCAGCAACACCACCACCAACTCCAGTATCACCAGCACGGCTCTCCAACGAGTTTACACCATCCTCATCCGCTACAGCAGCTCGCACCGGCGTCGCTCTCGGTAGCTCCTCCGGCGCAGTCGATCCATCCGCCGTGGAGTGCTGGGAACTCGAGCAGTCCTTCCGATAGCTGGGACATCCCGGTGGCCCGAAGCGTGGACTACCACACTATAGACTGGAGCACGGGCATACCACCGTCTCCATTCGCGAAGCCGGCGACGAGCTTTGGCTTGAGTTCTTCGCTGCCACGGAGCTTCATGGTTAGAAGCGAGGGATGGAATCGACAGCAGTCTGGTTACCGTGGTTCGCCGGACGACTTGGCCAGCCAGGAGTGGACGACTCCCTTCGCTGGGAAGGATTTGGTTCACCACCAGGCAGTCCCGTCGCTCTAGTGGATCCAGCATTGCTATCTGAATAAGAGAAAAAAGGAGATGTTTCCTTTTGTCGAAACAAAAGTCCCGAGTGTTCTTCGTGTTCTTTGTGTTCTTCACTGTGCTTTCTTTTGCAGGAAACTCTCCAAGATTTGTTGGCCGATGTCGGTGAGCGATGGTAGGACGTGAGAGGGTGCGTTAAGGAGATCTCCCCAAGGCTGTGTTGACGTGATTTTGCTAAGTTGATCGTGTTGGGCGATTGGTTTGGATGTGTTTGTGGTGAGGTACATAGCGTTAAATGTGTCGAGAGCTGTGAACGATGGCTCGAGAGTGAGAGAGAGATAAATGCTGAAAGAGAGAAGCTTACCATCTTCGATTGCGGCATTGGCCGCGATTTTGGAAGCAGGCTTTGGGTTGGACTCCGAGTATGGATCGAATATAACGTACTCCCGGTGTTTGTTGAGGATAAGTAACTTGGATTCGGAGGAGCTTGCGTTGATGGCTTTGTTCACTTCCTCCGTTGGAGGGAGGAACAGGAGAGCACCACCAATGCCCTGCAAGAAAAGGATATGTTTAGGTGCATAAGGCCGCACAGCGCCGCGCACTTACATCTTTAAAGTCCCAGACTGAGGTTGGAAGCGGACTTTCTGGCTTAAATAGGCAGACTTGAGCGGTTCCATTGCGTTTAACTTCAGCACCTCCTTTATGATACCGTTTTGTGTGGCTCGAAGCGAGGACTGCGAAGTGTCCGCCGTTTGGATCCACAGTGATGCCTGTTAATAAAGCTGTCTGAGGAAACCATCAGCTGACAACAGAAGATTACCTTCGACCTCGACTTGGTAAGACCACCATACGGAAAGAGTGGACAAATTCCACACAGTTAGCTGAGGTTGCTTGCCGAATGATGCAGAAATGAGGTACGGGCATTTAGGAACAAAGGATAACATTCCCACAACCTGTTCGAAGGAAGTTAAGACATTTCAAGTATGAAGACGCGAAGCTAAAAAGCAATACCTCATGGAATGCACCTGGAATACTCAATACACAGACAAGAGTGTTGGATAGAGGATTCCACAAAGTGATGAGTTCCTCAGCAGCTACCGCAAGTAGAGTTCCATCGTGCGAAAAGGCTGCTGCATGCATGCGTTTCTGCCTAAATCACACTTTTCAGAGAAAGAAAGATAATATGTCGTATCAAGCTTACTTGTAGGAGCCAGTTGCGCTGCATCGCCAGTTGTGGGTGTCCTTGCTCTCGTTTTTCGTTTGAACCCATAACTTTAAAGGCGAGTATCAGTATCCACACAGAAAACTACAAAGACATACCTTGAAATCATTGGCTCGGGAGCACGTAACAGCAATGTTCTTCGAGGGATGATATGCTAAAGCCAACACTTCCCCACTAAAAAACTCAAGTTCAAAAAAGTACTAACGGATTAGCAGGAACGTACGTACCCATGGGGACTATCAACGCTAGTGTGTAGAGTATAGGGGATGTTCTCAGAACTTTTTGTCCAAAATTTTAGAAAAGAACCTCCGCCGACACCGGCTTCTGCAACTCTGAGGTCAACCGTGACCATCACTGAGGCATCCGCTGAAAATGCAACGTGTGTAACCAGCGTCTAGGATGACAATCTACAGTTAATAAGAGTCTTTTGACAAAAGTAAAGCTTACCGATTGTCCAAAATCACCCCTCGAGTGATCAAAGGATACGAAATTTCTTGGTGACACTTGAATCTGCACAACTGCATGTAAAAGTTCTGCACATTATATTTAAGAATTTGGCATACCTGATTTGCGTGCTTGTCGAGGAGGACATCGTAAAATTGGACTATGAGATTTGCTGTAGGCACAGCTACGGTCCCATGGACATGATGAAGAGCCACTTTGGTGACATTTAACCATTCAAGAGTATCTGGACAAGTAACATAAGGCTGAAAAAAAGCAAACACCAAACTTGGTGTTAGGATACTAGCATCATAACGACAATATCAACCTTAATTCCGAAGATAACGCGATCCATTCTCATGCTGCCAATGTTTAGAAATCTCAATGAATTGTCTGCCATGGAAAGCTGCAACTCCAAACGTAAGCAACAAAAGCCAATGGAGAAACTTAAACATCATACCACAAACACCGATGGATCAGGAGCGCTAGTGATGTATCTGAATGGAGTTCCTAAGCGCGGAAGAAACCGTTGGTTCCCAGTCTCAATGTGCCACATGACAAAAACCGCTTCCCGTCCCCCTGTGTATATAAAGCGATCAGGAAAACTACAAGTTAATGCAAAAAAACTCACCTGATAGCAAATATGAGCCATCGGCGGTAAAGCTCAAACATGCCACTTCTTTATGATGCCAATGGTATGTTGTCCTCGACTCGGCATCATCGTTAGCGTCTGCCCGTCCACTGTCCGACTTTCCTCGACGATAGTCGCTCGAATAAAACGTTCGTTCTCCTACGTTTTTCCAAACTGTTATCAGTCCCCGCCGGTCAGCAGCCGCTACCAAGGTTTCGGTAGGATCGAAAGCCATAACTGTTAAAGGTTGCCATGGATGCAATACCGTCGCTTGAACTTCCGAACAATAGCCAACACTGGGAGCAGGGACTTTCCATACCCAGACTTTCGCTGAATCAGCCATTCCAACGAAGCTCCCCTTGCGGCTTGCCACCAGCACCCGCGGAAGACTCGTCTGGAAAGTAGAAAACTTAGCAAAACAAAACAAACTTCTGAGAAAACAAACCTTTGCCAAGTGCCCCTCCACCGTTTTCTGCGAAGCTATATGAAGTAGTAAGACTCGACCAGTGTAGCCTCGAAATTCTGTCTTGCGAATGACTGTTGTGTCTGAAATCTTGGTTTCTGCTTCGCCTCCCATCTTTTCTTCTCCTCCCGATTCTTCTTTATCATCTGACTCAGACTCTTCTGACTCAGACTGTTGTTCTTGCTCAGCTTGGACATTCGAAGTTATCACTTCTTTGTCCCACGCAACGGACAAGAACGCAACACCCTTGTCATCAGAAAGCGTAGATGATGCTCCTGGGATCACCTGAAATTACCGGAAAAATTCACTTCATCTCAATAGAACATAGAGAGGAAAGAGTTTCGTGCTGCTCGCGTACCATAGACACTACTTTGTAGCCAACGTCGATCACTGTGATCTGTGTCGCTGTCATGAAGTTCCAGAGCCGAATGGTTTTGTCCCATGACGAAGTCCAAGCGTGTGTGAGCACGGACTTGGCCTCTTCCAGGCCTTTAACCACGACAATGCTCGTCACTCTATCGGTGTGGCCTTGCAGCTCCGCGACCTGGATCACGCATTCCTCGAAATCTAGCAGCAGCGAAAGAGAAAATGCAAGTAGGATCTTACCCGGAGTCCAGTCGCGACGCTGAGGACGGAGACCGTGCATCCAGTGCACACGAGAAGAAATCTCCCATCGCAAGAGAAGGAGGGCTGCTTATCGGCGAAGAAGCTCCCGCCCCGGAGCGCCATAGCCGAAAAACCCTAAATAAAACCCGGGGTTTTAGGGTTCTTGGATTGTGCGCGATCGCGATGAGGCTGCTAACGCACAACATGCTGTCCTGCAACATCAAGGGCGTCAGCAAGGGATTCCCGCTCGGCATCGAGGTCGCCAAGCTGGAAACCAAGACGGTAGAGTTTAATCCGCAGTTCTTGCGCCATTCCTTCCCCAAAATCGAGTGGAAAGCGTTCCAGGAAGCCGCAAAGACTGTAAGTTTGCTCTCAAGGTGTTCTTTGTTAGCCCAGATGCTTTCTATTGTTTCTTCGAAAATGACGATTGCTAGTCTCTTAAATGGTTTTCTTACATTCTATGCTTGTTCGTTCTTTCCACTATTTTCTACAAAGCTTCTAGTTCTTGATAGTATCGTTTGCTCCGAATTCTTTTTCTTTGCTTTAGCTTTCTCATCCTCGTGCTCGGTCTTATTGTGTTCCAGCTAGGTGTGAATGATCTTCCCGAGCAAGTAGAGCCCTCAATGCTGGACGATGATGACTTCCTGCGGCGATTTCATCATGCTCTCCTTGAGGTACGAACGAGAAAACGAAAGAAAATCCTGTTGCTCACTTCGTCACGCTTCGCTTTTTCTCAGATCCATCTAGAGGAAGGAGACTTGGTCTGTCCAGAGACTGGGAGAAAATTCCCCGTAGCGAAAGGTATCCCAAACATGCTCCTCAACGAAGACGAGGTGTAGAAATGTAGTTTTTGTTCTTTTCGCTTGTGACCTTTCGTATAACATTCGCGCTACAACTTTAGCTCCTTCACGTTGGTCGTTTACATTGCTTTCTTTGCTTTACTGTTAGCAAGATTGATTTAACGGCTTCGCTATGAAATGAATCAGGTACAGGCTGCTAGCTTCTTTCCTGTTCTTTTTCTTTCTTTATTTTGTTTTCTAATCTTTTGACATGTTGCTTGATCTAGATGGAGATAGGACAAAGAAAAGGAATGCCCAAAACAAGATCCCCGGCGAAAAATCGTCTCAGCTTCAGGTGCATGGAAACTCGGGATACGTCCAGAGATCCAAGTCACTCGCGTCTTCTGGAGCGTCCATCCACAGTGGGATTGCTGAAAGTATCTCGGTGGAGCCGACAGCAGCCGGTACTGTGTCACTAGATGTCGTGGAACGCGACGAGTTCGGTGCTGACACAGGCGCTGCTGATGTAGACGATGCGTTTGGATTGGAACTCTGAGCGACTGGACCTACTGCGCCTCGCTTGCTGCCACCGCCACTCTCGTCGGGAACAGCTCGGAGGCTTTCTTGACTGGATCTTCTCCGATGGTAGAACTCAGCAGTCGAAGAGATTGATGGAGGTGCCTGCACACGAACCAAGTTAGGAGCAGCAGCAGCAGCAGCAGCGGTAGCAGTGGTGCTAGTAACTCGAGCTTGCTGAGCAGCGAAAACAGCCAGAGCTTGGATCTCCTTGTTGGTGGTCGGCAAAGGACGCGGCAGGCCAGGCAGGAACTCTGGAAAGTTGAAGCTAGAATTGGCACCTCTCAGGCACAGAACAGCAGCGTCGTAGGCTCGAGCCGCCATCTCGGGTGTCTCGAAGGAGCCGAGCCAGATCCGCGACCTCTTGTTCGGCTCCCGGATCTCCGAGACATACTTCCCCCAGCTCCGCTTACGTACTCCTTTATACTTGGGACGCAGCGATCCCTCTCGGCTGCTGCTGTGACTACTCCGCTGCTGCGGCAAGTACCTTCCGTCCTCGATCCTGGCTACTTTGTGGTGGCAGAGCTTGTCAACCATCGCTGAAAGTGAGCTCTCTCGCCGCCCTCGTCGTCGTTCTCATCAAGTGGAAGCTCTCGAAGAACTGGCTCGGTGGTGATGGTGGTCCTCGCGCCAGGCATCCACACAAACTCTGGAAAACGCGAGAGCTTAGCTTTGGCTGTGGTGGACGGACTGTATAGGTGGAGGGAAATCGTTGGTCCCTGTGGAAACTCTCGACTGCTGGGTGGAAGAATTTGCGGGACAAAGAGGGAGCTATCCTTATCGGCAGAGAGGTACACGTGAGGACTTTGGAGTGGTGTGTTCTTGACCTTGGTTTTATAATGGTCGCCATTCCTTCCAGGTCAAGGATGCGTACTCTTGTCTGGGATGGAACGCGCCCAGGTAGTTTCTCTCTTTCTCATCACATTCTCTTTGGCTTGGTTCCGATGGTCAGTTTTTTTATGCGACAAAACGAAAGAGCTCGCTGTGCTCTTTACAACCGCAGGGAAAAAGTACAGCAGCGCTCGTCTCGTGTGATGAAAGGTGGCCTTAACGGAATGAAACGACGCAATGCGTGACGTTTTTTTCCTTCGACTTCTTCTACGTCAGGAAAGAGAGTTCTTCTCCGAGTTAGTGCCGACGACACGGCTTCGCGAGCTCTAGTGTTTTGACGAACTGGAACGAAGAAAAGCCGTGCTAGATATGAAGAGAGCCTGTGCCAGCCAAAATGGCCTCTCAGGGAAGTTAATGAATCCATGTACATAGGAAAGAGAAGGAAATGATGGCTTCAATTACTTACAGACTTCTCGGCGCTTAAGCCGCTCGAAGTGGACGACTGTTGTAGCCTTTTGGCGCTGGCGTTGCTCACGGCTCTCGACCTCTGGAGCTGGCGCATCCGGAACACGTCCTTCGGACCACTTTGAGCTGCCTGGGACTGTAACGCTGCGTCGTCTTCTTCTTGAGCTGGAAAGCAAAGACCACGAGTGAATTATTTGCCGCAGCACGAATCGATACCTTACCTTCGAGGTCCTTGCGTTTTGCGTGGCGTCCAGCTCTTCCTGATGTTGCAGCTGCGGACTTTGTGCTTCCGTTTGGTCCCGTGGGATTGGGAACTTCATTCTCGAGTAGAATAGATATCACCAGGTCTACATCGGGAATGGGTCCTGCGACGAAGCAGAGACGATATGTATTCGCTCCAGTATATCAAACGAGAACTTACCATCAACAGGTGGAAGCTGGCTAAGAAACGTTTTTACTGCTGGTGGTAAGAGCCTCAAGAGCTCTTCCATTGAAGAATCATCCGCAGGACCTCGTCCAAGACCCGCACGAGAGGCCAATCCAGGCATAGCAGTAGAACCTGAAATCATATTTGTAAGTTCAATTGCTTCCCGAAGAAGTAGCAAGACAACCTTGAAGTCCCAGACCACTCAGCACAAGGGCGTCATTTCCCGCTAAACATGACACAAGAGAAAACAATTAAAAACTGCAAGCGATCAGGAACTTCCAAGTACCTGGCTTGGGATCATACGGAGTCATTTGCGATACGTCTGGCCGAATCAAGTTCTTCGGAGGTGTCGCTACGGAGTTCTGAGACTTCTTCGCGCCTGATAAGACAAGAAAACTGTACTTAAGCGTGTGTGAAATGCATTGCAAACCTTGTACGTTACCAATAGCCAACTGTTTCTCTTCCAGCTTTTGCAACATAATCTGTAGGAGACAGAGAATTAATTAAAAACAAAGACGAATGCATATACAACCTGTTGCTGCGCGAGGTGGTCGAGATCCTGTGATGAACAAGGCCAGAGATCCAAAAAGCGGTAACGAGATATTAGCTGCTGCATCGAGCTTTCTGAGGATGCTACCGCGACACCATCATCTCCAGTCAAAGCTTCTTTCCTTCTTTGTGCCACCTTGAACAAAAGCCAGTGACTTACATCTCAGTTCTTAAGGCCATACATCTCTTACCTTCAGCATGCTCGGAATGTCACCATACATTTGTTCAAACGCCAAAAATCGATTCCATACCTGCAAGAAAGAATTACAAAACGTTCCTTGACTAATACTTTGAGAATTACATACTTCTACGGACTCTTCTGCTGGAAGAACATTCAGAGCACGCTCAAAAAGTGCTCGCACATTTCTGTCGTCGTTTAGACGACAAAGAAAGTCAGCATACCTGTTTTACAAATTTGCGAAGTCAGAGGATTACTATGAACCAAGGATTTTTTTTTTTTAATATACGCACTCTGTCACGTAACTAGGCTCATGAATGTACTTTTTCAATCCTAACTCAAATATGTCTCGCGCTACCTGCACAAACAGCAGCTTTGTTGACGCGTTAAAAATAAGGTTGCAAACCTTTGGGTCCTTGTCAACGCAGAAAACCATCACGGCACACGCCACGTAAAGATGATATGTGCAGGAAGGACTCTTTCGTGCCTCGGAAAAAACCTTGCGAGCGGCCTCAATGCCTTCGGTTCTCCTCACGAAGCGCATCAGCTGGAAGAATCGTTATGATGAAACAAATGAAGTCCTAGATCGAACGAACCTGTATATGAGCCAAGGAATTTGCTATTTTTTCATGACTCACAAGAGTTTCATAAATCTTCTTCGCATCCTGGATTGAAACGGTGGTATATAAATCGCCAAAAGATGAATTTTCGTACCTTGATGGAGCCTCTAGCTTCTTCAAATTCTGCGTAAGCATAATAGATGATTGTTGCATCTAAAGAAAATGCAGCGAGTGTCAGTTTTGAGTATCACTAAAAATTCCATAAACCTGGCAAGGCAATGAGAGCTCTCCCAAAAACTACGGCAGCATTGTCATTTGATCCATTTTGAGCGAGCCACATTGCATAATCATACCAAATATCTGGGTAATGGTAAAAATACATAAGGCACTGCAAAAAATCTAGCTCAATCGACAAAATCAAGGGAAACAAAAACGACGTACTTGCTCATAAGTAAACACCACACGTCTAGCCAAAAGAGCAGGCTCCAACCGCTGAGGATTGTTCCTGCAATCGACCTTGTAAGCTTTTAACGAAAACGGACTCAAGAGCTGTAGTTACTTTTCAAACGCAAGAAGTTGCTTCCACGAAGAATTTTGTTGTTCTTCCTGTCACAGGAAAACACGTTAGAACTTCGGCAGACAAGAAAAAGAACTTGCTTTGAAAGAACCGGCAAAAGGAACTGGTAGCAAACTCTGATCAATTTGGTCCCAGAACTTCTTTCGTTCCCTGTAGACAGCACGAGCATTGAAGTGCTTTGGCTGGAAGTCGGCCACAAGTCCTTTTGCCTGCATAACAAGCGCGTGTACTTTAGAAGACCTTCACAGAGAAAAAGAAAACTGAAAGAAGAAAAGAAAGGAAAACTAAAAGAAGAAGAAGAAAAAAAAACGGAGAAAGCCGGAGCGGAGACACAATGCCATCTTTATTCATCTGCATACGAGCTACAAGGTTTCTCCTTGGAAGACGAGAGATGGAGGGAGGGAAGTAGCTGCCAACCAGTGCCCGGCTGATGGTGTTCTCGAAGCTTTCATACTCTTTCCACAGTTGCTCAATGTGATGGATCGGGGAGAGTACAGCTTGCTGATAAGCTTTGCGGAGCAGGAGCATTCGCTGAGCCTCTTCCTGAGGACTAGAAATCTGTTGGAAGGAAGAGTTAGAACGAGAAAACATTTGGAGCCAGCGAGCGTACGGGCATCGTTTTCAGGAATGTGATGTACTCGAACCACAAAGGTCCTGCTGATATGTCCATTCCTGCGAGACAATCGATGAGATACGAAGAAGCAAATGTAGAAGCTACGTACCAACATGACCGACTGTGAACTCGAAAGCTTTCCTCGTTTCCTCTTTTGATTCAGGGCCTTTCTGTTCATTCACTCTGCGAATAAACTTGATGTAGCATTTCCTGGAGACAGTACCATCAGCTCAAGCACACACAATGTTACTCGTTTACCATAGCTCCAAATGGAAGCAGCTGAGCAAACAACGGCTAAAGATATGCCGGACCGCATCATCGTTGCTCGCCTTGATCATAGCTTCCGCGTACATCTTCCAGAACTTCCCCTTTACGAGAAACCAACGTAAGAAGACGTCCGAGAAAAAGGAAAAGAATATTTACCGCAGTTGGAAAGGTAGAAACGAGTAGCTCGAAAATTCCCGTCGCGTGAGCAATCGGTCTAGACTGGATCGGCAAAAAGTATGTGAGCAACGAAAGCAGCAGCATTTACCTGGGCCTCATCCGCAAGAATTTCCCACGCCTCCACATCGTACTTCTGTGCATCGATTCGCTCTCGAGCTGCGCGCTCCTGCATCAAATCCCCGAATCAAACCACAAATTCCCATGCGCCAATCGCTACCTTGTCACTCGCGGGAGGCCCTAGATGACTAAACACCGATCTTCTGGAACTCCCAGACGGCGACGGCGAGGAAGAATCGGCAGCGGCGGCGGCGGCGCCATCAGCTGGAGCTGCCAGCAGCGATCTCTCAGGAATCTGAGCTTTGAAGAGCTTTCCATCGTTGATCATACTGCATCACTCGAACCCTCCGCCACAAACCCTATCTCGCGAAAATCCCTTATGACATCTCCGACGTCCACGTGTGTAGCGCACTATTTGTGATGTGGCATCGGTCTTTGAATGCCGGTTGGCGCCATAGCTAGGGCTTTGGGATTTCTTCGCCATTCCTTCCGGCATCCCCAGCCATGGCCAAGGTAATGTGACTCTTGCCTGCGCAATCTTTCCTCTCGATTCGAGGAGAAGCTCCTGTCTCTTTCATCTCTCATTTGAGTAGCTCTTGTAGCGTTCTTAACAACAAATTGTCCTTCTAGCCATGGAGAATCTTAGCTCTCATTGAAATCGTTTCTAGAAGTAGCTCAATCTGTAGAATTCTTGCTTTCACTGTCGATAAAGAAATTCAACACACGTCGCTAGCTCAAAAACTCTTTTTGCTTCATGACTTCTCAGCTCTACGATTTCTTTCGTATTGATTTAGCTGAGATTTTTTCCGCAGGGAAAGAAGATGACGCCGGAGGAGAAGAAGCTCAAGGCACAGATGATGACTCTCAAGGTGACACTCGTGGTTATTTAGTTCATTACGCTTGTCTTTCTCAACAGGCTGAAGAAGCACGGAAGAAAAAAGAAGCGGAACAGCGTGCTCGCTTAGTGCAGCTTCAGGCAAGTTTTCTGGTTCATTACATTTTGTTCAAGCTCTGATTTCTCGAATCTGCCATGTTTTAGGAAAGAGAGGAGCGATATACGAAAGATAACACGCGAGAAATTCATGCTAAATGGAGAGAAATACTTCGACAAGATAAAACCAAGGAGCTGCGGGAGGAAGTCATGCAGTGCTCGGAAGAGCACGATTTTCAGGTTTGCCATGAAAATACTTCTGAGAAAACTCCTTTTATGTATGCTGTTCTTCAGGTTAGGAGGAAAGATGCACTCATCTCGTCATTGTTCAAGGAGCTGGAGGAGTCCGAAGGACAGCATCTCATGCTATTCAGCAAACATTTGCACATCGTTGATGGTCTGATTGATTTGCATTATTCTCGTTTGAAGGTAACTTTTTCTTGAGTCATTTCGTCTGGATGTCTATAATTTATGGTGACAGGGTATGGACGAGGAGTTCCAGAATCGTCTTCATGAACTTTCCACAGATTTCAACAATGAAAAGATGGATGTTGTCAGGGCCCATGACAAGCAGAAAAAGGTAAGACAGACTAGTTTAACTCAATCTCAACGTCTTCTTCAGTTCTATATAGGTATTGAATGATATGATGGCTGCAATGGAAGCGGAATTCAAAGAGGCTGAAACAGAGATGCGTCAAGAGTTTGAGGCCAACCGCGAAGAGCTCAAAGTAACTCCGCCTTTCTATGAGATTGCATTCATTTTGGTTTGCTTTTCGCCTGTTTCAGAACAAGAACATGGAGGAATACAACGTCCTGAAAATTTCACTTGAGAATGCAATAGAAGAACTCGAGCGGCGCTTGGAGCAGACACATCAGGTACTACTTTTTGCTGTGGATTTCTACGACTAACTCACATTCTGCATCTCCGTCACAGTCCTATCTGTCAAGTACAGATACAAAGACACAGGCATTTAAGAGGATGATCGAAAAGGACAAGGTTACTGCGAAGCTAATTGAGCAAAGAATGAGAAAGCTCATCCATATACATGAAAGCATTTCTTACTGGCGGGCAAAGATAGCCACGAACAGGTTCTTTGACAACGGCGCTATTAGGATCAGAGTTCTCACCCAGGGGGTTAAACAGCCGAGAATGGGAAGGAATAAACAAGGCACTTCGCGACCAGAAAGATTCTGTCAACCAGCATTATCAAGAACTCAAGAAGAAGCTCTTGAAAATGAGAAATTCCGAGCACATAAAACTCAAGGTTCGTATTCGAGTCCTCTCCCTTTTTGCATCTGAAACATATTTTGCAGGAAATATCGAAAATGAGCGAGGAAGCGAGACTAGATCTTACTGGTAAGCTGGAAGTGTCCGACCGCATCATCAGGCTTGGAGATCTTAACTGCAAGGTACATAGTTTTGTAGTATCACAGTTATTCAAACACTTGTTTTCTCTCAAGCAGCTGGAAACGGAGCATGAAAGGATTTTCCCGTTTGATCCTTTGCATTGCAGTCGTTCTATTATGCCTGACCTCTTGCCAGAAGACGATGGTAACCTCATACAATATTCTTTTCCTTGTAACTAATCGATGTTCTGTTCAGATACGGCCGATGACGTTGTTGACACCAAGGTGAAAGGACAAAAGAGAAGCGTCACTATAACAGAGAAGCCACGAATTTTGTTTCATGGCGAAAAGCTGGAGAAACAGGAGGAGGTCTACAGGCCCGCAGCTTATGCCACCGATAAATCTGGGAGCGAAGTCGAAGAGTGGAATTATCTCTCCCAGTTTCAACAGCGCTACAACAAGGTACATGTTCGTAGAATTCGCAGTCCAGTTTTGATGCTTTCGTCTTTTTTACCAGGTCTTGCTCGACAAGATGGCACTCGATCTCGAGAAGAAAAGAGTCGCCGCTGAAAACTTCCGCCTCCAGTCCGCTCTCACACAGTATCTCGACGGCATCACTGTCAACGACAATGTTCTCAAAGGACCCATGAACACGCTACTGGTATGTCTTGAAAGTTCTCTTCTTCTTTTTCGTTTTTTTCTGGCAGTAGCTTTGAGTTGTTCACAATCGTACTTCGTTTTCACACACAGATGGTGTCCTCGATCGGAAAAGTTCGAGCGTAGCAGCAAAAGTTTTGTCAAAAGTTTTCTCCATTTTCCCGGGAGTTTGAGGTAGCTACGGTTCCTTCAGAGATTCTTGCGTCTCGATCAGACATCGCTTTCGTTTAGTTCGTTCTACCATACAGGAAGTAGCTGATGCATTTCGACTGGAATGACAGATCGCTGGGGTAAACTTTTGTCGCATCGAGTTTTCTAAGATTGTGTTCAGTGCACGTTGTTGTACAAGATTTTCAGCGCAAGCTAGACTGGATCCAGCATTAAAAACTCGAATTTCATGTAAGTTACTGTGGACGAAGGTTTGGTGATTTTCCAGCGACTACTCTCAAGCTAGCTACCATTCTGGGTTCTATGGTCCACACAGCGGATGTCGATCGACGGCCACTGTTGCTTTGGCAGGAGCCAAGGGCCGGGATGCTTCCGGACGCCAACCCAAGCATCCAATGCAGTTGAAAGTTCATGAGCTTTTGTATGTAGCGCATTTCCCAGTTTGTTCTCATTGTCACAGCCGCGCGAAGAGCAAGAAGGGCGCCAGGGTTTTGCGGGGGCAGATTTTCCAGATCCCAGCTCTCCAGCGAGCTAGATTTCGCTCGCCTCTCTCGTCGGCCATGGCATCCGTCAAGGAGTGGGGGAATCAGCCGCTGAGCGCTGTGGACGAGGAGATTTTCGACCTGATCGAGCATGAGAAGGCGCGGCAGTGGAAGGGGATCGAGCTCATCGCGTCGGAGAACTTCACGTCGCAGGCGGTGATCGAGGCGCTGGGCAGCGCGCTCACCAACAAGTACTCGGAAGGTATACCCGGCAATCGCTACTACGGCGGCAACGAGTTCATCGACCAGATCGAGAATCTGTGCCGATCCAGGGCGCTGCAGGCTTATCGCCTCGATCCGGAGAGGTGGGGTGTGAATGTCCAGCCCTACTCTGGAAGCCCGGCGAATTTCGCCGCCTACACTGCTGTTCTTGAGCCGCATAGCCGGATTATGGGCTTGGATCTCCCATCCGGTGGCCATCTCACCCACGGCTACTACACATCTGGGGGTAAGAAGATCTCGGCCACATCGATCTACTTCGAGAGCTTGCCATACAAAGTGGATCCCAAGACCGGCTACATTGACTACGACCGGCTCGAGGAGAAAGCTATGGATTTCCGGCCCAAGCTTATCATCTGCGGCGGTAGCGCGTATCCAAGGGACTGGGACTATGCCAGGCTTCGCGCTATTGCGGACAAATGTGGAGCTCTACTTCTCTGTGACATGGCTCACATTAGCGGGCTCGTGGCTGCCGAGGTGAGTGAGCATTTGGATTTTTAAATCTGGTTTATGTCTGCATTTGGATTGGATGGTTTCTTGTGGGAAGCTTTCAAGTTTACGAGATGTCTGCGTGCGAATTTGGATTGTTTGAGTTGAGATTTCACAAGCGACTTTCTTTGCTGCTCGTGCTGAGATTTCTGGAACTCTTTTGTTCTGCATTTGGATTGAATGATTTCCTGTTGGAAGTTCTCAAGTTCTCGAGATGGGTGAATTTGGATTGTTTGCGCTGAGATTTCATGGTGGTGGTCGTGCTGATATTTCTGGAACTTTGTGCGTGTCCTATGTTTTTTTTTGTGGTGGTCCTCTTCAAGAATTTTGGCTTTTGTGATTGTTTCTCATAAATTCCAAACATTCCAGGAGGCAAAGAGTCCGTTCGAGCACTGCGACATTGTGACGACGACCACGCACAAGAGCCTGAGAGGACCAAGAGCCGGCATGATCTTTTACCGAAAGGGCCCCAAGCCTCCCAAGAAGGGCCAGACAACGGAAGAAAACTACGACTTCGAGGACAAGGTCAACTTTGCTGTGTTTCCATCGCTCCAGGGAGGACCGCACAACCATCAGATCGCTGCTCTGGCCGTGGCACTGAAGCAAGTCAATACACCCGAGTTTAAGGTGTACGCGAAGCAAATCCGGGCCAATGCAGCGGCTCTCGGGGACGCGCTCATGAAGAAGGGATACAAGATAGTAACTGACGGCACCGAGAACCATCTCATCCTCTGGGACTTGCGTCCGCTCGCTCTAACTGGTACGTAAATTCCTCTCGCAGCTGGAAGAACGAAAACAAACCATCGTTTTTACTTCGACAGGAAACAAGGTCGAGAAGGTGTGCGAGCTCGCTCACATAACACTTAACAAGAACGCGGTGTTTGGAGATAGCAGTGCTCTTGCGCCTGGAGGCGTCCGTGTTGGTGAGATAAATCATGTTTCTTTAGATTTGGCGAGAAACCAACTTATTTGCAATGGACAGGAGCGCCGGCCATGACCGCAAGAGGTCTCAAGGAGAAAGACTTCGAGCAAATCGCCGAGTTCCTGGGACGGGCGATTGACATCACGCTCGCCATCCAGAAACAACACGGTAAGATGCTGCGTGACTTCAACAAGGGACTGGTGGACAACAAGGAGCTCGCAAATCTCAAGGCCGAGGTGGAAAAATTCGCCACCTCTTTTGACATGCCCGGCTTCGACGTGACGAGCATGAAGTACCACTGACACTGTGATCGATTCGCTCGATTCCATGTGGCTTTTTGTTTTCCAAGAAAAATTATTTTTGTTTCGTTTGATCGAAGCAAAGTTCGTTCTCATTTTCTCTACAATGGAAAAAGGTGGCCAACTTCTCAGAGCACCAGGCTTTTGTGTTTTTACATAATATACAGATTAAATAGCTAACGCTACCAAAGCGATACAAAAAATTCTTCCAATGACAAACGACCATGATGTTTTCTCGGCTTTTCAATCTCTTCTCTCTCTTGTTCTTTGTTGAAACTGTGACTTCTCCTTCTTGCTTGCTTGCTTGGTGCTGCTGCAAAGTGTACAAAACAAAACAGGTTGTTAATTCACAAAGTTGGCGATGCCTTTTGCTCGCGCGTGTTTGTTCGCTCGCCGCTTCACTGGACAAACACGCGCAGCATCCCCGGCTGGACCTCCGAGAACTGGAGCCGCTCGTCCTCGGCGAGATACCGCTCAATGGCGATGGGCACGCGAGCTGGAGTCCGCGAGCCTTTGGTGTGGTGGCCCGTCCCCACGCAAACGTAGACACACTGCCGCTTGGAGGTCACTCGGCTCGCTATTCTCAGCGCCGAGAGCTCTCGCCGCAGCAGAGGGATCGCCTCGCCGACGTGAAGCCCGTGCAAGTCGATCATCCTGTTGCCATCGCGAGCCAGATGAAGCAGCGACGCATTCCTGGAGTTGAAACATTTGGACTTTTAGTTGAAGAGAGAGAGAGAGAGAAAAAAAAAGAGACGAACCTCTGGTGGAAGATGGCCTCGGCGGCTTTTCCATGAGCGTTTTTCATTTGCTCGTTGTGCCACTGGCCTTTGGCACTCAGCTCCTTAGCCAGTGCTTTGTTGCCGACAAGGTAAGCTTGTCGAGCCTGGAAACAAAAACGAGAGAGAGAAACTACTAAGCAAGCCAACTTCGAAAAACGAAGTACCTGTTCAAAGTAGGCATTTCGAACACGCGCATGGTCCCGAGCTTCCTCCCTCATATCACTGTACATGCTCGCTGCAATCCAATGGAAAACGGTAGAGTAGGGCCGAGATTTGTCACGGACTTACCCACAGCTTCTCCTGTTTCAAGCCAGGGTTGCTGCGGAGGACGACTGTTAAAGCCATAGACACCGAGGCTCTGCGCCGCCGAAGACCGCCCCGGCCCGATGGTGATATCTCCAGCACTTCTCTCGAATGGCCAATGTGAAGGTTGCTGATGAACAGCCTGCTGTGCCTGTTTTCTCACAACCGCTGCAAAATCTATGCCTTGTTCCCCAGGGCCAAACCGGCGAAGTGAAGTAGCCAGCTCCATCGGTCTTTGAGAACTCATGGGACGCGTTTCTTGATGACCCGACAGTCCGTTGATAATTTCTACACCCGGTAGAGATGGAAAATCTGTGGGGGTCAAGGAGGGTACAGCAGCTGGACGTGAAGTACGTCGAGATGGTGCACCTTCCTCTTGAAGCTGACATGAAAAGCAAGAGTCACATTCTACCAGAAACGAAAAAGAAAAGGAGCTTACTTCGAGTTGCGTTAGCATCTCTATCGTCAGGCTCAAGTCACACCCGGTAGCGGAATAAATGTCGGACAAGCTCTGGACACCAAAATTTGGAAACTCGGTCGCGAGTAAAGTAAGCGGGTGAATCTCATCTGGGGACTGTTCCAACTCCACACCATCAGTACTCCCATTAGCCGGCCAGGAGTGAGCACTCTTCTCGTCTTGCGAATATGAACCTCAAACAACATCAGATTGATAAGAAGGATAATAACACTCAAGAGCGTACTAACCATTTGTTCTTTCGCTCCTTCGCGGGCCACCAGTTCTTCCACCAAAATTTACGTCAAAGTCGCGCGCCTGCTGCTGGTCATATTGGTTGGTTGGCGAGTAAATCTCCGAGGAAAAGTCTGAGTCGGTAATGAGATCGTCCGGGAGCTGCGATCGCCAAAACTGTCTAAACTCGTCATCGGAAGCGTTGGGATTGCTGGAGCTGTCAACGTTAGCTTTACTTCTAGCCTCGGAAGCAGCACCATTAGAGCCCGAGTTTCCAGCACTCACTGATGTTCTTGAGGACGATGGTACAAACTCCTGAGCATCAGGATTCAAGCTCAGCCGAGCAAGCTTCTTCGACAATCCGTTGTCGGGAGGCTCGTCTAGAGCAACAACAGAACCACTGCTCCGATTTGTTACAAGTGACATTCTCCCAAAAATATTCCTCCACCTAAAACATGAGAAGAGTGTCAGAGAGAGAGAGAGAGAGAAAGCTCAATTTGTTTTTTTTTTTTGTTTTTTTTTTTTTTTTCTAGCAAGCTCTAGCTATGAGAGTGCAGCCATAGCCTAAGCTAAGCTTCCTACGGAAAAAAATCTTACAACACTTAAAAACTGCTGCCAAAATCGCTATTTCCTGCCATCCATCCAGAAAAAATTAAATCTGTACAGCCGATCTCCACAGAAAAAAAAACTAAAGAGGGAAGAAACAAAACTAGACCCTCAGCCAAGGCATCCACACACAAATTCACACACTAACCCTAACCCAGAGAACCCAATTCCACAAAGTCAATGCCCAGTGCCTCGAGGCAGCCAGGAGAAAACAAATCCTCCAGCTGCTCGGGCACAGAACGCATCCATTCCAGGACATAGAGGGGAGGCACGAAAACCCTAGAAATTCTCGCCAGAATTCTCCACGGAGAGGGGAGAGGACGACTTACCCATGCGCAATCCGGAAGAATCTCGCGAGATGAGCAGCGGCGCCACGGCGATGGGATTGGCAGCACCCGCCAGGCGCGGATTCGGAGGCGGAGCAAGCAGGAGCGCTCGAGCGAGACAATAATTATGTGCTCACCCTTGTTCTTCCTTCTTGGTATGGGTATGTGGCTATGGGTATGACTATGGTATGCATCTTTTAAAGGACACGTGTAATTATCATGACTTTTAAATCGCTTAAACTCTTTTTATTTATTGAAAAATCCAAAACTTTTCTTCAAGCTTCTCAAGTCCATCCCTCACAAAACCTCAGGAAGATCTCCCAACTTCGAGGATTGTCAGTGATGAAAGGCATGGAATTCAGCAAATCTCTCGCGATTTTGGCATATCCAAGCCGTCCCAAAACCACGACCATTGCCAGATAGTGATCCACAACCATAGTAACACCATAGTCCTCTTTGATCCCTTTGAAGCAACCCAAGCACTCGACAAGCATCCCTTTGTGGTTACACGCCAGAAGAACACCCAAGATGGTAACCTCGTTGGCCTCCTCACCACTAACCTCCATCTCCCGAAACATTGAAATTGCCAATCGTCCATAGCCATTGTGTGCATACGAGGAGACCATGGCCGTCCAGGCCACCACATTCCTCTCGGGCATCCTCTCGAGCATCTCTCTCGCGTCGCCAAGATGCCCGTTCTGGGCATATGCCTCAACCAGCGACGTCCACGACACGATGCTCCTCTCGGGAATCTCGTGGAAAACCCTTTGCGCCCAGTCGAGATGTCCTTCTTGGGCATATGCCACGACCATTAAGTTGTAAGACGGGACGCTAAGTTGATGCATAGCATTGAAGCAATCTGTCGCTGCCTCGAGGTTTCGTGATTCCACGTACCCTTGCAGCAATCTTGTGGAAGAAATCACGTCTCGCTCCGGCAATTGATCAAACAGCAACTTCGCTCGGTCTAGATCTTTGTGCACGATGTGTGCTGCAATGGTTTGGCTATAGCCGACGAGGTCGCGCTCGGGCATAGCAGCAAAGAGGGACTCGACGTCGTTGATATGCCCAGTGTGGGTATGTGCCAAAAGCATCACATTATATGAAATAATATCCCACTCGGGCATCGCATCAAACATGGTCTTGGTCTTTCCGAAACCGCAAAACTCAGCATTTGCCCAAAGTACCGAGTTCCATGAGAACAAATCACGGGCAGGCATTTCAGAAAAGATTGAATCCATTTTCTCGACAAGGTTGTGTTGGGCATATGCTGCGAGCATGCAATTCCAGCAGACAAGGTTACAAACTGCCTTGATTTCGCAAAACATTCTTTCTGCTTCGTGCAGCAAACCATTATCTGCGTATGACTTCACAAGCGAAGTCCAGGCTACGATGTTTACTTCAGGCATTAGATCGAAAACAGCCTTGGCTTGCTGAAGATGCCCATTCCTGGCATATGCAGAGAGAAGAATGCACCAAGAGAAGACATTAGGCCTTTCGATCTCATAGAAAGCCGCAAGACAATCCTCCAGACTCCCACATTTTCCATACATTTCAATCACAAGATTTGCAAGGTACTTGTTGTGGTTGAACTCACTGTTCCTGAGAATTACCTTGTGGAGGTGCTTTGCTTTGAGAAAATCTCGTTGGTTTCCACACTCTTTTAAAACTCTAGCAAACTCCTTGACATTGAGATTCATTCAGACAAATGTCGTGCTTTCTCGGCCGTCGATCCTTGTATAGCGTATCGACGGCTGTCTAAAAGCCACGTGGAAGCTCAAGTTTTAATAAAATTGGAGCCCTAAACCCAGCTAGGGCTTTTGGTGGGGAATGGCTGTGCCCGTGCATTGTGCCGTCGCGGGGAAGGAGGACGATCCAGACGGAGTGGAGTGGCTTCGATCCGTCAGCGCTCGCATTCGCATGTATCTCCATCCGAAATGCGCCTCCAATCTCGAGGCTTCCGTGCGAGAGGTTCTCAACTCGATGCTTCTCAAGTAATGTGGTTTTTAGCTCCTTCTTCTCATGTTTTCCTCGGTTTTCTTAGATTCGACAGTAGCTTCGATGGTGTTCTTCTCGCCTCCTTTCGCCCAGAGATTTTAAAGTTTGGCCACAAGATCCTTCCGCTGCTTCCTTACTTCACTGTGCGACTAAAGGCCGATTTGCTTCTCTTCTCTCCAAAAGCGGGAATGCTCATCGGTACGTGCTCCATTCTCGTTTTCTTTGCCGCGATCATTCTAAACGAGCTTTAGGCGCTTGGCTGTGGACAGGACAGAAGGCAAAGTAAACAAAGTCGAGAAGGATTACATTGGAATGCTGGTTTTGGGATTGTTTAACGCGGCAATAGGAATCAATGACATCAGGCAAGACCTCTTTTACGATGAAGTGGTGAGTTTCTCTTTCATTCTCTCTCCCATCTAAGTTAGTGCTTTGTTCCTGAACTTCAATTTTCGTGACAGTGCTAAGTTACTTCTTTGTCTCTTAACTTCAACAGGCTACTGAGCAAACTTGGATAAGCGAGAGCGATGAGCGGCATTGCATTAGAGTTGGGAGCAGGGTCTCTTTCCTTGTTAAGAGGTGGGCACAAAATTTATCTCAAGAACAAGCAAGCTGACTGCCATGCTTTTGTCTTCAATGGGGTCAGTGTTCAGGAAGAGGATGAATTTATTGACATCGTTGGGTCCCTTGTTCCTCCGGAGACCGGTGCTTTAGACTGGATCGCATGTCTTGAGGAAGACAAAGAGGCCCAGCAAGAACAACAAACACCTGTTAGCGAGAAAAGGTAAACCCGTATTTTCTTTTTTCTCGTTTGTTTACGCGGATCTCTCCTCTCTTTTTTCTTTTTCTTTTTTTTTTCTGGTTTTTTTTAGCAGGAGCAAGCGAAAGACCGAGGCCGAGTCAAGGTAGACCACGTTTTCCTTCATATTGATAGATGGTCAAACTCCCAGTTTTATATTTTCTCTCTTCTTTTTACAGCAGCAGCAAGCTTAAGGTCGAGGCCGAGCCGAGGTAATTGTCTTCCATCGATGATTAAAATCACTGATATTTTATATATATATATTTGCAGCAGCAGCAAACGCAAGGAGCACAAGAAGAAAAAACGAAAACGCGAACAAGTTCAAGAAGACGAGGAACACTGATCTCGACAGACCGGTTCTAAGTTCTCTCATCGTTTTTATTTTTTTCTGTACTGCTATAAGTCTTTCTAACAGAGCTGACTCGCTCGAATGCTCGATCGTAAATCATGTAACGAGCTCCTGGGAAGCTGCAAGACTCTCAAAGCGGTAAAACAAGCCCACGCTCGTCTTCTCCAAAGCGCTACTTCGACTCTCGACACTTATGCGTCGAACAAGCTCCTCGACTTGTATGGGAAGCTCGGAGCAGTACATGAAGCTCTCTCCATCTTCACGTCCATCGCCAACAAAGACGTATTCTCATGGACGTTCATGCTTACTACATATGCCCGAAGCGGGCATCTCTCTCGGGCAAAGAGGATCTTCGACGAGATGCCCGAGAGAGATCTCCATTCGTGGTCCGCCATGCTTGCAGCCTTTGCAAGCCACGGCCAACTTTTCCAGGCTAAAGACCTCTTTGACAGAATGTTCGAATGGAATGTTGTGTGCTGGACAACCATGCTAAATGCATATGCCCAAAAAGGGTATATTAAAGAGGCGAAACTGGTGTTTGATTCCATGCAAGAGCGTGACATGAGGTGCTGGACCGCGATGCTTCGGGCATATGCCCGATCCGGGAATCTTGAAGATGCGAGGTCTCTTTTTGATAAGATGCCTGAGAGAGATCTTGTATCATCAACTCTCATGCTTACCTTACATGCTAGTGACAACCTTTACAACTTGAAAGCTCTTTTCGACCAATTGCCTGTGAGCGATCTCTCTGTATGGACTGTGATTTTGGTGGCATATTCCCAGAAAGTCGATGATGCCGCAAGAATCTGGAACAAAATGCCGGAGCATGACCTGGTGGTATGGAATGCCTTATTAACAGCATATTCTCATTGTGGGCATCTTGCCGACGCAGAGAGAGTTTTTTCTTCAATGTATGAAAGAGATGTCATTTCTTGCTCTGCAATGCTAGATGCTTACAGTAGAGCTGCGTCTGTCACGCATGCTGAAAGAATATTTGAGAAGATGCCAGAGCATAACCTTGTCTCATGGGTCATCATGCTAACCGCATATTCGAGCAATGGGTATCTGGACAAAGCCAAGCAAGTGTTTGATTTGATGCGTGAAAGGAACCTCTATGCGTGGAATACAATGCTAGTGGCATATACCGAGGGTGGCTATCTTGACCAGGCCGAATACTTATTTGCTTCGATGCCATCCCACGACATTGTGTCCATCAACACTCTTATATCCGGATATTCCCATGCTGGGCAGACTCTAAAGGCAAAACTCGTGTTTGATTCCATGGAAGAAAGAAGCATTGTTTCCTACAATGCAATGATTTCTGGTTACCTTCACAATGCGGAGCTCAACAATGCCAAAGACATGTTTCACAGGATGAAAGAGCACAGCCTCATTTCATCCAACACGATGCTCTCGGTATATGCCCAAGACGGGAATATGCGAGAGGCTAAAGCACTCTTTGACTCAATGCAGGAGAGGAATCTTGTCTCCCATAACGCTCTCCTGTGCGGATATTCCCAGAACCGGGATCTTCAGATGGCAGTCTCTGTGTTCTATTCTATGCAAGAATGGGACTCGGTGTCAATCAACGCCATCCTGACCACAAATGCCCAGAGTGGACGGCTAGACGAGGCCCGTCACTGCTTCGACACTGCCCCGGAAGAGCTAAAGAGCCTAGTGACGTGGAACACCATGCTGACGACATATGCCCAAAAGGGCCACGTCGATGCCACTGCAAGCTTGTTTCTTAGAACAAAGGAGCGCAACGTTGTGACGTGGAATACCATGCTCGCAGCATATGCCCAAAATGGGCATCTTGAAAACGCTCAATTCATGTTCCATACAATGCCACACAAGGACCTCACGTCCTGGAACACGATGCTCTCTGCATATTCACAGTGCGGCCACCCCTCCCAGGCAAAGACTCTGTTTGACAGCATGGACTCTCTCGACACAATCTCCTGGAACTCAATGCTCGGCGCTTACTCCAACCACGGAATGTCCCAAGAGGCGCTCTCCCTGTTTCACGAGATGCTCCTCACAGTGCCACCCAACTGCATCACGATGACCGCCACCCTGGTCGCCACAAGTCAACCGGGGAGCCCCGGCAGCGCAAGCGCCCGGTGGAGGTCAACGGCATTTGACTTTGGTCTGACAGCCACGAAGGAGCACTACAGCTGCATGGTCAACGTCTTGGGGAAGGGTGGCCACATCCACGACGCCATTGATCTCATTCTACACATGCCATACGAGCCGGACACGCTACTGTGGACGAGTTTCGTTTGGGCAGCATCGGGGAAAGAAGTAGCGAGAGAAGGGCCTGACTTACACGGGCTGGAGACTTTCTCCGTTCTTCTCTACAACTTCCATAGGTCGCCTTCTTACTTTCGTTCGTAGGCGAGGATTCAAAGTCCAGGAATTTGTTTTTGTTGCACGGGGAAGGAACGCGTTCGAACGAAGCAGCGTTTTGACGGATGTTTGTTCAAGGATTTTCCGGGACGGATGGAGAGGAATAACCGTGTATAAAAGTCATTAATGAAGCTGGGGTATCTCCAAGTGATAGGAAGCGATCCCATTGGAACGGTTGCGATCCCATTGGAACCAAAAGTCTAGCAAAGTTGGAGAGAGAGGAAGAACAAATGTTGTCCAGAGTTGGAGGAGATCAAAGCAAAAGCACTCGGAAGTGTCGGAGCATGGAAACTCGCCTAATCTTCCAGCTGCTGCTGCTGCTACTGCTGCTCCTGGCTGGAGAAATCCACCAGGAACACGTTGGAGCTTCTGGTGCTTCTCTCGTTTCTTCTGCTGATGAAGCAGGAGCACTGCATCATCGTAAACTCTTGCAGGATTTCACGGTCCAGCTCTCGCAGGCTTACAATCTCGAGATCCCGGTAGTGACAACAGTGGTCAAAGGAAAGAGCTCGCCTATACACCCAGCAGTGAATAAAGAAAGTAGCTCGCCTATGCTCCCAGCAGTGATCAAACGGAGGAGCTCGCCTATCCACCCAGGACCAAAACACGTTAGTGCATTCGAAAATGGATCTCCTCCAAGCATTGACACCAAGCAAGCTGTGAGATCTGGAACTCCTTCAAATGGAAAGATCGTTCCAGGCCCTCCTCCAACTCGTAACACATTTGGAGGCCGGCTGGATTCAGGGCCATCGTCGCCGATTCACTGCATAAAAACATGTTAAACGCATAATCAACCAAATAAATAAACTCTGATTCTTGACCACAAGACTAAGAAAGAGAAAAAAACAGTTTCAGAATCAAGAAACTATTTTTTTATAATCCGATGGTAATTATGGCGTTGCTCAATCAGCTACAATGGCCACCCTGAAAATGTGTTATGAGTTGGAGGGAGAAGTGGAATTCTAACCGGAAGAACCCGAAGTTTGTAGATACAGTGATCATGCAAGAAACACAAGAAATGGATCTTTTCTCTCGTGTCCTTGCTTCTTATAAAATAGTTTCTTGATCACAAGACTATAGTGTTAAAGATTCAATTGATTTCTTTGAGAGCCATTTGCTTCAATCCAGTTTTATAAATTCGCTCCACTATCCCGCTCATAGATTTTTGTTCTCTAGTTCCTTGTTTCAATCTTCAAGCTTTTTCCTCAATAAACCGGGAATCACTGACTTTGGAATTCCGTTCGATCGAAGAAACCTCCTTGACAACCTCCTTGACTGGTGAATCTTCAGGGTATTGCCCGAGGACTTTAGACGTGCCTAGAATTATACCATGTGTATAAAATAACTCTCAAGGAAGAGCTCATCCCCGCAAAGGTTGATAGTTCTAAAGCAAAGAAAAGGTAATGGCTCTTGATTGACTGAAGCTGCCGCTGCTGCTCTTGTTCACAACAACACACAGCGCTGCCTCTCTAAGATCCGATAGATCAGAGTTTGCTTTTTCTCTTCCATACAAACTTTCACATTGTTTGTTCTCCACAGATTTCGGCTGTTCTCCAGAAACAGTGGCTGAAGCAGAAGGAGCTACTCAACCTATACATCCACAACTGCCGTGAGAAGTACATGTCCTCCAAGTCCTCCAAAGGTCCCAGCCGACCCATACTGACCTTCACTTCTGACCCACTCATACAATGCTCCTTTTTTTTTCATAGGAACGTGGAAGACCTGACAACATTCATCAAATACCGAAGGTTTCCTTACAGATCAAACTACCTGCAGTTCCAGATAATCCAGAAGAGAAGTACACTGTTCTGCTCTGTAAGGGAAAGATCAGACACCGAAAGCAAGGACACAAGATAAAAAGAATGCATACCAAGGGACCTCTGCTTCTTGCGTCCCTTGCATGATCGCAGGGTCAAAAGGCATTGTGACTTCTGGCTCTTCTGGTTCTTCCACTTCTCCCTCGAGGGCATCCAAGAGCTTCTTTCTCTCAGCCTCTTGAGCTGCCTTGACTGTCGCATCCTGCTCGGCCTTGAGCTTCTTCATCTCTAGCCCCTGCTGTTGACGCTCAAACCACGTTTCGGCATCCGCCCAAACTGCAAAGATAGAATTCCAACAAAGTAAGACGACGAAACAAATAGCAAAGCAAAATCAAAGAGACAAGAAGAAAAATAATAGTTGAGAGAAAGTACTGACAAACAAAGTATCTAGTGAACCAAAGGCAAGAGAAGTAGAAAAGATAAAACAACTGACTTCTTATAGGAATGAGGAACTTGTGAAGAAAAAGAAAAGAAATCTAAATCCACCTAAAGGAAATAATGTGTACCTTAATCTAATGACAAAAAAACAAGGAAGAAAGGAAATGGAAGAAAACTCACTTGGTTGAGATGCCCAGCCCTGTTCTCCTCCCTTGATCTTCATGAAAACCTATCCTGCTCATATATTTTTCTTCTCTAGTTCCTTGTTTCCATCTTGCTTTTTCTTAAAGAATCCGTGGACCTGCTTTGGAATTCCTTGGTTGCCTGTTCGATCAAAGAAACCTCCTTGACAACCTCCTTGACCAAGGACTTTCCACACGCCCAGAACTCATCACGGCAAAGGTGGAAGTAGAGATAGTTCTAAAGCAAAGCATCTTGATCGACTGAAGCTGCTGTTCCTGCTCTTAACACACAACACTGCTTCTCTAAGATCCGATAGATCAGTGCTTCTTCTTGTCCATACAAACTTTCACTTTGTTTGTTCTCCACAGATTTCGCTTGTTCTTAAGTCAGTGCGAGAGCATTGGCTGCAGTAACTTTATCCATAAGAAAGTGCAAAAGTAGCCAAAGTTAAGTTTTCAAGCATTTATCCTTAAGCGAATGTATGAGTTCTTTTGAACCCATGGCCTTTCCCCACTTGCTGCTCTTTACTGCAGATCAAAGAGGAGCTGCCACTGCTCGTTCTGATTCTTCTTGCCAAGGAGCAAGCTCGCACCACCGTAAGCTCTTGCAGAAGCGAGAAATACTACGGAGCCAGCCAACCTATACATTCACAGCCGCCGTTGTCCTCCAAGTCCTCCAAAGGTCATCATTCTGGGCCCTCTTAGTGACATAGCTTTTAGCCGGCCCATACATCCTCTAGGACCATCGGCAGCTGATTTTATCAGAAGGAACTCATTCTTTTACCGACCTTCACTTCTGACCCACTCATAAAAAATGCTCCCTTTTTTTCATCAACACTGTATAACTAGAAAGATTTCCTTACAGATCAAACTACCTCCAGTTCCAGATTTCTGCACACTATTTTGCTCTGTAAGGGAAAGACCAAGGACACGAGAGAAAAGAAAGCATACCAAAGGACCTCCACTTCTTGCGTTTCTTGCAAGATTGCAGGATCTACAGGCATGGTAGTTTCAGGCTCTTCCGGTTCTTCCACTTCTCCCTCGAGGGCATCCAAGAGCTTCTTCCTCTCGGCCTCTTGCACCGCCTTGACCGTGGCATCCTGCTCGGCCTTGAGCTTCTTCATCTCTAGCTCCCGCTGCTGTCGCTCGGCATCGGCCAAAACTGCAAAGATAGAATTCCAAATCAACAAGGTAAGACGAAGCTGTCGTGAAACAAATGGCAAAGAAAAATCAAAGAGACAAGAAGAAAAGTAATAGTTTAGAGAAAGAACTGACAAACAAAGTATCTAGTGAACCAAAGGCAAGAGAAGTAGAAAAGAGAAAACAATTGACTTCCTATAGGAATGAAGAACGAAGAACAAGAAGAAAAAGAAAAGAAATCTTCAGCAAATCCATATACTCTAACGCAAAAAAAAACGAGGAAGAAGGGAAATGGAAGAGAAAACTCACTTGGTTGAGATGCCCAGCCCTGTTCTTCCCTTGATCTTCATGGGCTGCGGGTAATTCACCGTCAACACTTAGCGAAAGAGCTCCGAGTTGTGCATGTTGTCCATGGCCGCCGCCCCATCGTCCCTTGATTCAGGGGCATTGTCACGTCCTTGATGTCGCCAAACGGAATGAAACCACGTGGAGAATCCCCTCGTTCACATTCTCGTTGTCCAAAAATCTCGGAAGAAACAATGCGATCAAACACACGATAGCACCGGCGCCGTCTTTGGATTCGGCGCCGCCATTCTCCAAGAAACTTTAGGGTTGGAATGAATGTCAACAAATGGCCAGAGTGCGGCTGGACTTCTTCGACACTGCCCCGGGAGCCTACTGACGTGGAACACCATTCTAACGACATATGCCTAGAAAGGGCCACGTTGATGGCTGTTTCTCAGAATAAAGGAGCGTAAGGTAGTTTAGTCGAACCTTAACCGACGGTTGAGTTCTTGGTTGGAGAGAGAGGATGGCAGGAGAGAAGTGATGGGCGCTGGATGGTGTTCTGTAGTGTGTTGTGGTGGTTCAGATGTTGATCTCTCTTGATTTCTCTGGTTTCTTTGCTTGTGTCCATGAATGGAGAGTCGGTCCCTATTTAACTGCTACAACGTTGTGAATGCTCGCGGCATATGCCCAAAATTGGGCATCTTGAAAACGCTCAATTCTTGTTTCATACAATGCCGCAGAAGGACCTCACGTCCTGGAACACGATGCTCTCTGCATATTCACAGTGCTAGCAGGCAAAGAATCTGTTTGACAACATGGAGGAACGCAATGCTTGGCGCTTACTAACCACCCAATGTCCCATGAGGCGCTCTCCCTGTTTCACGAGATGCTCCTCACAGTGCCACCCGACTGCATCACGATGACCGCCACCCTGGTCGCCATAAGTCAACGGGGAGCCCCGGCAGCGCCAGGTGGAGGTCAACGAAATTTGACTTTGGTCGGACCGCCACGGGAGCACTACAGCTGCATGGTCCACGCCATGGGGCAGTGTGGCCACATCCACGACTACACATGCCATACGAGCCAAATGGTATGAGTAGCGATCCGCCATCTCTCGCCATGGATCACATTCTACACATGCCATACGAGGCGGACACGCTACTGTGGACGAGTTTCGTTTGGGCAGCATCGGGGAAAGAAGTAGCGAGAGATGGACTTGACTTACACGAGCTGGAGACTTTCTCCGTTTTGCTCTACAACTTCCATACGTCGCCTTGTTACTTTCGTTCGTAGGCGAGGATTCAAAGTTCAGGAATGTTTTTGTTTCACCGGGAGGGAACGAGATTCTCGTTCAAACGAAACAGCGTGTTTTTGACGGATGATTTTTCAAAGTTTTTCCGGGACGGATGGAGCCGTGTATAAAAGTCATTAATGAAGCTGGGGTATCTCCAAGTGAGAAGAAGCAATCCCATTGGAACGGGAAGAGCAAAAGCTGCGATCCCATTGGAACTGGAAGTCCAGCAAAAGTTGGAGAGAGCAAGCGATTCCATTTGAACAGGAAGAACAAACGTTGTCCAGAGTTGGAGGAGATCAAAGCAAAAGCGCTCGGAAGTGTCGGATCATGGAAACTCGTCTGATCTTCCAGCTGCTGCTGCTGCTGCTGCTCCTGGCTGGAGAAATTCACCAGGAACACGTTGGAGCTTCTGCTGCTTCTCTCGTTTCTTCTGCTGATGAAGCAGGAGCACGGCATCATCGTAAACTCTTGCAGGATTTCACAGTCCAGCTCTCGCAGGCTCTTGAGATCCCGGTAGTGACAACAGTGATCAAAGGAAAGAGCTCGCCTATACACCCAGCAGTGAATAAAGAAAGTAGCTCGCCTATGCTCCCAGCAGTGATCAAACGGAGGAGCTCGCCTATCCACCCAGGACCAAAACACGTTAGTGCATTCGAAAATGGATCTCCTCCAAGCATTGACACCAAGCAAGCTGTGAGATCTGGAACTCCTTCAAATGGAAAGATCGTTCCAGGCCCTCCTCCAACTCGTAACACATTTGGAGGCCGGCTGGATTCAGGGCCATCGTCGCCGATTCACTGCATAAAAACATGTTAAACGCATAATCAACCAAATAAATAAACTCTGACTCTTGACCACAAGACTAAGAAAGAGAAAAAAACAGTTTCAGAATCAAGAAACTATTTTTTTATAATCCGATGGTAATTATGGCGTTGCTCAATCAGCTACAATGGCCACCCTGAAAATGTGTTATGAGTTGGAGGGAGAAGTGGAAGTTTGTAGATACAGTGATCATGCAAGAAACACAAGAAATGGATCTTTTCTCTCGTGTCCTTGCTTCTTATAAATAGTTTCTTGATCACAAGACTATAGTGTTAAAGATTTCAATTGATTTCTTTGAGAGCCATTTGCTTCAATCCAGTTTTATAAATTCTTTCCACTATTCCTTGGTTGTCCGTTCGATCAAAGAAACCTTCTTGACAACCTCCTTGACTGGTGAATCTTCAGGGTATTGCCCGAGGACTTTAGGCGTGCCTAGAACTATACTGTGTGTATAAAATAACTCGCTCATCCCCTCAAAGGTTGGAAGAAAAGATAGTTCTAAAGAAAAGCAAAGGTAATGGCACTGAGGCTGCAGCTACTGCTCTTGTTGACAACACATAGCGCTACTTCTCTAAGATCCGATAGATCAGAGTTTGCTTTTTCTCTCCCATACAAACTTTCACATTGTCTGTTCTCCACAGATTTCGGCTGTTCTCCAGAAACAGTGGCTGAAGCAGAAGGAGCTACTCAACCTATACATCCACAACTGCCGTGAGAAGTGCATGTCCTCCAAGTCCTCCAAAGGTCGTCAATCTTCCAGCCGACCCATACTGACCTTCACTTCTGACCCACTCATACAATGCTCCTTTTTTTTTCATAGGAACGTGAAAGACCTGACAACATTCATCAAACACCGAATAACTAAAAAGTCAAACTACCTGCAGTTTCCAGATAATCCAGAAGAGAAGTACACTGTTCTGCTCTGTAAGGGAAAGATCAGACACCGAAAGCAAGGACACAAGATAAAAAGAATGCATACCAAGGGACCTCTGCTTCTTGCGTCCCCTGCATGATCGCAGGGTCAACAGGCATTGTGACTTCTGGCTCTTCTGGTTCTTCCACTTCTCCCTCGAGGGCATCCAAGAGCTTCTTTCTCTCAGCCTCTTGAGCTGCCTTGACTGTCGCATCCTGCTCGGCCTTGAGCTTCTTCATCTCTAGCTCCCGCTGTTGACGCTCAAACCACGTATCGGCATCCGCCCAAACTGCAAAGATAGAATTCCAAATCAACAAGGTAAGACGAAGCTGTCGTGAAACAAATAGCAAAGAAAAATCAAAGAGACAAGAGGAAAAGTAATAGTTGAGAGAAAGAACTGACAAACAAAGTATGTAGTGAACCAAACGCAAGAGAAGTAGAGAAGAGAAAACAACTGGCTTCTTATAAGAATGAAGAACTCGTGAAGAAAAAGAAAAGAAATCTAAATCCACCTAAAGGAAGATATTCCAAATAAATGTGTACCTCAATCTAACGACAAATAACCGAGGAAGAAAGGAAATGGAAGAAAACTCACTTGGTTGAGATGCCCAGCCCTGTTCTCCTCCCTTGATCTTCATGGGCTGCGCGTAATTCACCGTCAACACTTTGCCAAAGAGCTCCGAGTTGTGCATGTTGTCCATGGCAGCCGCTGCATCGTCCCTCTCCAAATACGTGACGAATCCAAAGCCCCGGTGCTTTTGCGTGCCTTGATCCAGCGGCATTGTCACGTCCTTGATGTCGCCAAACGGAATGAAAGCCGCGTGGAGAACCTCCTCGTTCACATTCTCATCCAAGCCTCCTGTTGTCCAAAAATCCCGGAAGAAACACACGCGATCAAACACACCGGAGCAGTCGCGCTTACCGACATAGAGCGCCGTCTTTGGATTCGGCACCGCCATTCTCCAAGAACTCTGCGCCAAAAACCTTAGGGCTTTTACGGCTAAAACTTTAGGGTTCTTCAAGTAAGTTAGCATTGGTACACGTGTATGGCTTGGCAGCTTGCCACGCGTATGGTCAAGAACTCGCCCAGAAAAAATCCTAACCTTCATTTGGCTCATGGCAGCACTGGCATTGCGCGATCATCCTGGAACTGTGTTTTCCAATCTGGGCCTCGATCTTCGCCGAAGAGCTGCCATTGGGATCGAACTCCAAAGCCGCAGGGAGCGATTAAAGCCCTCTTTTGCGATCCGAGCGACAGCATACAGAGTCTTGTTGAAAATGCCCCTAGGTGAGAAGATGATCTCTTGCCCTGACGATAAGAGCATCCTGGACGCCGCCGAGGATGCGAACTTGGAGCTCCCATTCTTCTGCCGCGCAGGATCTTGCCCTGCTTGCGCAGGAAAACTAGAGATGGGCAGCGTGGATCAGGGCGGAAATGCGTTTATGGGCTACGAGCACATCGATCAGGGCTTCGTGCTCACTTGCATCGCCTACCCAACAAGCGATTTGGTCGTCATCACGCACGCCGAGGACGAATTGGTCGCCTCTCTCCTCTAGCAGAGAAAGAACCCTAAATGCAGGGGTTCGCGCGCTAATTTTCAAATTTTAAAAATCTCAAATTTGCTACACATATTTACGTGCGTCGTGTTCTAACGCTTGCTCCACCGAGCCTGTGCGTCCTCATCGATGGCGGTGGCGGCAATGACTGCTCGCTGTGACCGTGGAATTGCTTCTGGACATCCAGGTGCTTGCCACTGGGATCGAGATTCTCGGTTTGCTGGAGATGGAGCGTTGGAGGCGGGCGAGTTGGAGGAGGTCGCGATCGCCATGGCGACGATGATGGCTGTTGTTCTTGAGATGGAGCCGCGGGAATGGACGATGGTGCCGGTTTGGCTTCACTCTCAAAGCTGGTGCTTGACTCTTCTTCCTCTCCCGAATCATCGACGTCAAAGCTTCTCCGGAAGTTTGATCGGGCTCGCCGGCTCGATCTCGGCGCTGGAGACGAGTGATCCGAGTCTTCTTTCTCGAACAGCTTCTCGGTTCTGGACAGGACGCTCCCGTGCATCGTCTCCATGTTTAGAGTGAACGAATCCAGTCTGGAAACCACTGGCGCTGCCGCTGGAGCTTCATCAAAAACTGGCTTGAGCTTGATCTCATCGCGCTGATGATCATAAGAAGGCCGATTTGCTAATGCTTCTGCTCTTCTGTTGAAAGTTTGCTCGGGTTCTTCGTCGTATCTTGTTGGCCTCGAATGATCATATACTGGCCGATTGTCATAAGAAGATCCTGACATCCAGCTGGAGCTCCGATTCTCCTCTGTACCGCCAAAGTGATCAAACACTGGCTTTCCAAGAGGACTCCCCGCCTCCTCTTTCTTCTCGGCGGGCTCACTTCTAAACAAGCTGTTGTCGAAATGGCCAGTTCGCATTCCAAGAGGACTACCCGCCTTCTGCTTCACTGGACTGAGGTCATTTTCATCACCTGTGGTATGCCTCCATCTTTGATGCTCTTCCATGTTAATCCCATCAGTGGTATGGGACTTTCTGATTGAACGATGTCTTTCAGCTACTTCCGCTTCTCCCTGCAAGTTCCTGCTTGGGTTCAATATCGGCGAGGATTGCTGCTTTGCCAGTGGAGTCGGAGTTTCCCATTCCGACGAATCCGTATCGTTTGCATGGGCTCTGATGTAGGATGCTACTCTATCCTCCAGATTCGCCACCAAGTCGAGTTCCCTGACCCGAGCTTTTCCCTGATCCGCTTCTGAAGTCATTGAAGTCTCCCGCGAGAGATGCTTGTGAGCAAGAGTTGCAGCAGCTCGAGCAGCCGCAGCAGCATGATCAGCAGACTGAGCAGCGGCTTCCGCGGCAGTTGCAACGTCTGCGTAGGCATGATTCCCACTGAACTGCTTTCTGTACTCGCTGTAAGGATCATCAGTCATTTGCTGTGGTGGTGGCGGTGGCGGTGGAGGTGGTGGGGGCGGTGCAGCTTTGTGAGCGTAAGGATTGACAATCCCTTTTGTGTACTGTGCGTAAGGATCTAGAACGCTACTCACTGTTGCCGCTGGAGTTGGTGGAACGAACGGAATGAACTGTTGCTGATGGCCGGGTTTTTGAACGGGACGAGATGCGGAAGGCTTTGAAACAGGTTCATCGTCGTCAGAATCGGACTTGGACTCTTGTTGAACACGGGCCGGCTGAACGGCCGGTTGAGCGGCAGGAATAGCAGGTCTTTTGTCAAGCGGCGACGTTGGAGAGCTGCTACTGTTGGTTTGCTGCGGTTGCTGATGTGACACCACATTGAGCAGATTATAGGCATAGGCATTGAAACAGAAGAAGAAAAGCGTGCTTACCGTAGGCTTTTGTTGTTGTTTCGGAGGTGTATCAGGTGCCTCGGCAGGAAGAGACAAGTCCGCGGGCTGCCAATTCACGTTGTGCTCCTTCGCAACTTCAGCCATGAAGTTTAGCTTCATGGCTGCAGTGAGAGGTTGTGTTGATAGCTTCTCCACAATCTACACGTACAAACAAAAAGTGAAACCAGTTACTGGATACTCTCCCCTGAAGAAAAAAAAAATCTCACCTTCTTGCCAACTCCACAACCAACACGAAGCTCCACTATAGTAGCGATAAACTGCTTCCCATACTTGGAGCTGAAAATCGACCGTATCTCCAGCAGCTCCGGCAAATCAGCACACCTCGGTCCAGCATAAATCAAACTGGCGATGGCCTCCTTGAGCTCCGGAGGACATTCCCTGCAAAGGGATAAGATAGTGTTAAACGCGCAAAAGGAAACCAATAATTGTGGGGTCTTACTTCTTTCCACTGATACTCTGGATTCTTGACGCTAGAAACTCACAGTATCCTTCGATGAGCGAGTAGGCATCGACCATGTTTTGTTCACGAATCGCGTGCTCAACCTGTGAGAGAGCTTAAGGCCAAAACGAAAGAGGAAAAAATCCCAAAGTCTCCATACCCGAGTGCGTGCATTTCCATCCTGCTTGTTCTGGAGGAGCTGGGCCACATCCCGCCGCAAATGCTTGACTTGGATTTCGCGTTTGTTGCGTAGAATCTTGATCCGCGACACCACCAGTCGCAATTGCGTCTTGCTGCGGAGCAGCCATGGAAGAAATTCTCAAGAAATCCCAAGACGAGAAAGAAGAACACTCACCATTTCGTCGCCTTGGAGCTGCCGCTCCCACCGAACATCGCCGCGAGAAGATTAGATCCGCCAAAGCCGCCGCGATAAACATTAAACTAAAGAACGACGCATCGATCGATGGAGCAAGCACGGGATGATCAATCAGCACGAAACGCTCGCGCTTTGTCCGCGACTGGAGCTCCCGGGCGCGAGCCCTAGCGCGCTATCACCGCTTTAGAAAGGACTCTAAACACCCCGCGGGACGCGCAATGGAAAGACAAGGGACCGAGCCTTCCGCCACCGTCTAGTCACCGCGAATATTCCGGCACGTCATTCCCACAAAGCCGTGGAATAGTTTTCTTCTCTTTGTTTCAAAGTCGCTGTAAGGAAAGACTTAGTGTTTGGTTTCTTCGTTTCTTCGTAGATTTGTTTTATCCTCTCCATCTCTCTCTGCAATATTTACTTTCTTTTGTACTGTGAGTTATGACTTTGTTTTTCTACCATGTTGATCTTGAAGAGATTAGTTGATCCAACTCCTCGGTTAGTCGGCTCTTTTCTCGCAAGAGCTCCTCGTTTTGCTTCTCCAGCTCCTCGATTCGCTTTGTCTGCTCGGAATCCTTCCTGTATAGATACAAACTTTCAAGCTTGAGCGAAGTTTATCTACGCTAGAGCCTTGTGAATCACCTGTTCATGAAGGAAAGGTTGAGCTTCAAAGATCGAACTTCCTTTTCTAGTGCATCCGAGCGCTTGATCGCTGCTTGCATGTCGGAAGGCATCGCTGGGACTGACGATCTTCCTTTGGCTTCCACCATCCTGGAATTCCAGAAAAGAAGAATTTTTTAGAATCGAATAATTCCAAGCGGAGCTTAGTGATGGAATGCCTTACATTCTCTTGCGTTCTACTCGTCGCTTCTTGGTCGAAACGTCCGAAGCTTCCATACCTGAAAAGTCACATTTGAAGCTTATGAATCTCAAAAATCAAAAGCTGCAAGACTTTGACAAAGAAATATATAAATGAATACCAGATCTTCCAGAAGATGTGATCGATCCTGCTCGCGAGAGCTGTGGTTGCTGCTTCTGCAACATGATACTAAAGTCACAAAGAGAAAGAAGAAACACCAGAGAAAACCAGACCTTGTGTTGATCTTCAGTCTGCAAGTCGTTATTGCCTGCAAAAACTGCCACAAAATGAGAAGAAACTCGCGCCAAGAACAAGCTCATCACCCAAACTCGGGAGATATTTCGACTCACTTATCGCTCGGCCCGCCTGTTGATCGTGGAAGAGATGGATCTGGCTTGGAGTAGCGGGGCACGAATTGTTGTCGTTGCCACCCGAGGACTCGCTCGGGTTCGCCAGCCGAAACATGAAACTTGCGTCCTGGACAGCGTTTTGCTGCTGATGGAGTTCGTGTTGCTCGGCCTGGCAGTGGTGTTGTAGCTCTTTTGATACTCTCTTCTTCTCCAATGATCCCTTGAGCATGTTTACGACCGTGGAGACTGTGGAGACTGACGAGTTGTGATCATGCTGGGGGAGATTATCGGGCCACGGAAGGAAACTTTGCTCGGTTGGCTTTGCTCCCGACGACAAATCTTGCCTTTGCATCTCAAGGTAGCGGCGCCTGCAAAGAAACAATGATTTGTTTCCGCAAAGTTTAGTTTTTTTTTTTTTTTTTCCTGAATTTTTGCTTTTCTTTTGGTATAGAAACGAGAGGGAAGTTTTCTTTTATGACCTGAGCTCTGTGGAACGGCTTCGAGTCATGGGTTGAGAAGTTTGAAACCAGCTTAGTGCCTACATATAGAAAATGGATTGAGTATGATTGAATTATCAGAGCAAGCGAGTAGTACCTGCAGCGAGGGATATTCTTGCTGCTGCTGTGATCTTTCAAACGAAAAACCAGGAAGAAGAAGAAGGAGGAATATTAGTAAATAGCATCAAAATCGAAACTTTGATCTCACCTTGACTTTGCGTTGTGCTCGCTTTGAAGATACAAGCCGTGATCCATTCCTTGTTGCTGGGCGAGTAGAGCAGCCAGTTCAGTCGACATCCTGATGAGTTTCGAGGGAAGAACCAAAAACAAAACACAAAACGTGAAGATCAGAGGTGAATTCCATCTTTTCTTACTTGCGAGATGGACGAGCGTGCGGGGGCAAGCCACCCTGCTAGAAATCCAAAGCTAAGAAAGATGGTTTCGCGAAAACCAGGAAGATCAAACCTCTGAATTGGCAATCCAGCTATTGAAGAGCTCCTCGCTGCTGGCCCTGTGAGGCATGAAGCCCATGTTTTCAAACGCAATAGCAGCAGCAGCACCGTGAGTAGCAGTGGAGCCGCCGTCTATCAAACTCCGGATGATCATCTCCTCGCTCGTGTTTCTCACCATCATCCTTGCAAAAGTCCCTCTTTTTTACTCCGCTATCCCAAGAGCGCTGCTCCAATTCCCCCAAAACCGTGACAAACTAACAATCCCATCACCTGTATCCAGCGATGAAACCTCCCAGGGAAAGACCCTCGAGTCGATCAACAGTTGGATCTCGTTCGCTTTCCCAAAAATTCGCACGAAAACTTGACTCGTTCAAGGAAAAGAAGAGAAAAAAAATGCGGGAGAGAAGAACACCAACACGATCAAAGGAACAGTCGTGTTTTTTCTTCTCTATTTTTTGGGGTTTCTTTCAGTCGAGTGGGTCTCCTGGTGGAGATACCGAAAGGAACAGTTCGAGCTTGGGCATTTAACATCTTTTGGATTGTCTTGATTCGCACTTGTCAAAATGCCGGGACTACTATGCAACCACGCTTCCCCTCTCTCTCTCTCTCTCTCTCTCTCGCTCTTGCTCTCTTCCCTGCTCTTTGTTTCGTTGCGCGTTGCCCTCTGGCATAAGCGCAAACCCAGCGAGATTCTTAGTAGCGCCCGTGTGCTGCCATTAGGCTCCATCGTCTTGCCCAACGAATAATCACTCAATCTCCGCATTGTCGTTACCACGGCTGTCTAGATTTGTCCATGTTGTTATATATACACATTCTCCAAGACGCAAAAACTCCACCATTTTTTTTTGTTGTATCAAATTCCTGCTACACAGGAAACGAATCTCCAACCGGTGGAGCCCCGAGTGTGTTCTAAAGTTTCCAACCGACCTGCTCGAAAGTTTGATCCTCCTACACAGTTTGGAGAATCGTGGCTTGGACGTGCTGACGATCCGCCTTTAAATCCAAAAACATTGTCATGACTTTTTATTGCGCTGAGCCAGGGAGCTTCCTTCGAACGAGTCCCTTGAAGAAATCCAAGCTGCGAAGGGAGATGAGTGAATGATTTGTGCAAGAGGTTTTTGTAGAGGAAGAGGTACCTGTTGCCGTCTGGATGAAGCTCGTACTTGTTGAAAGCATCGTCCGAGGCGAGGAGGAAACCAGCCGGAGTCAAACCCTGTTGATGATCCGTAAGAATAGTATCTAAAGAAAAGCCGGGGTTCTTACCTCGATCACTACCGAAACTCTGTCGTCTTCTAAAATCACCTTCTGTCCACTGAGAATCACAAATTATAAGAAATGGTGATAGCGGCTAGAACATTTTCTTAAAAGAAAAAACTTGCCTGTGCATCCACTTTTCGTAGTACATGAGTTCCAATGCACTAAATCCTGTTCACAATGCAAAGCATGAATTCTAGTAGAGAGCGAGAAATGTAAACAGAGACTTGCCTTGCGTTGTGAACGTCGTAAACAGTTTCTCAAAGCTCTCCAAAATCGTAGCGAGCAGCTCTTCTCTCGCAAATGGAGTCGCTTTCGAATCCAATCGGGCTAAGACGGAGTTTAAACACGTCGTTGGCTCGTCATTGTCCACGTTGAGGCCAACCCCTGTAGTTTTGACCAGCGAGTTTAGCCATGTAGAAGTCCAGAAAAAAAAAAAAAAACAACAGAAAAAGAAAATTACCAGCAACGATGTAGAAAGTTTTCGAGCTATAAGTTGACGAGCACAAGACTCCTCCAATTTTTAAGTTGCCACTATACAGATCATTGGGCCATTTGATCCTTACGTCCGGAATCGTCGCATTCTAAAGAACAAACATCAGGTACAGTAAAACTTTAGATTTTTTAGAAAACAGATGTGAACTGGCCTTACTTTAGCTCGAGCAGCCGCTTCAATTCCCTGTACAACGGCCAGGCAGACAACGTACTGGACAAAAGGCACTGTTCGTCCATTCTCCATTTGCAACGTAAACGAAAACATCAAACATCCGTCCGGAGACACCCAAGAATTTCCTGCTCGACCTGTCCAAGGATTGGAGAAACACAAAGCCAAAGATTGAAGAAGAAGAGACCAAAAGCCTCGCTACCTTTTCCTTGGTACTGGACGTCGGAAATACACACGGTTCCAATCGGGAGTGAATGAGCGTTCCTGGACAAGAGAACGACAGTAAGTTTTCGATGAACCAAGTGAAAAACGCGAGTAATAAACTCACTGAGAAAGGAATGTCTGTGTAGAAGGCATGCGCGGTCCATAGTATAAGAGCCTGCCATAGATAGTGGCGCTCAATCGACTCACAAAATCCGCGACGCGAAAGGAGCCAGCGGCTGGCTTTCCTGGAGGGATCAACGCGACGAGAGCAGCCTTCTCAGGGAGCTTGGGCTTTCCAGGAGGAACAAGCTCCTTGGATTTCGCGACGACGTAGATAATCTCGGCTAAAGCGGTCGATCGATCAGCGCCGATGATGAGAGAATGCGAGAAATCGAAGAAAGAATCACACCTGATGCGTCCACTGCGCTAATCGAGACGAGCTTCCTCAGGGCGAGCAAGCACGCGGCCCCGGCTCCGACGCACAAGCACACGATAATCTTTTTCATTCTTGTGGAGCCCTAAAACCTCCTCACATTGTGGAGGGTTTTTTTGTGTGGAGAAATGGGCGCGGCGATCGATCGGGCGCTCCAAGATCAACCAGGTACAATGTAGCACTCAAGGATCGGTGCTAGATCGTCTAGCGCTGTCCGAGAACAAGCTGATGGTGAGATTTTCCAAGTTGCAAAGCTTTCCATGCGCGATTTCTAATTTTCTTCGTTGCCTCGTCAAAGATTTCCAAGTAAGCTTGTCAAGTTACGATTTTTTTCTCACTCGAAAGGTCTCCACTCCGATTTGTAGAGACTGTTTGGAAGTCCCACCCAGAACTTAAACGCCTCCACAGCGCGTCTTCTCTCGGCCGTCTTGGACTTCCTCCTCTCGGATGTGTGCCTGCTGGTGTAGAGGTTCGCGTAAAGTTCCACGTACAATCGCTTGTACTTGGCCTTGGCTCGCCCCGAGTG